TCTAATATGTTTTGCTAGTGATACTTTTAGCCGACGGTGTATTACTTATACCATATACTATTTCAAACGCGATTATATTTTTAAGGACATCGTTGTCAACCATTAAACAATAACTGGTTGAAACATAAAGAATCTGTGACCAACACATGTGTTCATATTGTTAGGTTTTGTTAGCTGTGTGCGGATGTTATTGAAATATTAGACTAGTATTACTGAGTGATTTTTTTCCTTTCTACTATTGTTAAACTAATTCAAAATGGAGAAAATGACCATTTCATATAGAATTCCCCTAGTGGCACGGCATCATTTTTGTTTGTGGAAAATTTGCATTTTGAAATGTATTAAAACGACTGTAAGCTGATGATATTTCTCTGATAGATAGTGAATACGATACATGTGACATATTTTACTTAATATCCTTTTCAGACGCATACGAGAGAAAGTTTAAAGTCATGGCAATGCTTTTGACTGCTTAATAGTGATATTACGTTTGCTTCGTTTACCATAATTTCATTAACCATAACTCATTTAACTGCTTCCAAATTCATGATCAGACACACACATCTCTTGTTTATACCCTCAATCTCTTGACCTAATCATCTCATGACTCATCATCGACTGTCCACTAACTAAATTGTTTTCTATTGGCTCTTACATTTTTTTTTCTCATAGTAAAACAAAACAAATCTGAATAAATTCTAGTACCCCACGGCAAAGTAACGACTAGGGTCATTTTACCTCAAAACACACGCCATTACGTGTCCTATTAATCAAGTCACATTCTTGGTCTCCTATATAAACTCTTGTCTCTCATTACTTAAATATGCAGGAAAAATATACTTGCAATTCTACAAAAAAAACAAGAAGATCATAACACTAAAGCTTTCTCTCCCTTTGTCAATAGCAAAAAAAAATGATGGATTCATTAGCTAAATGCTTCAACGGACTTCAAGAAAGATACGAGAGTGTTCTTGAAGCTAAATCAATCTTCAAAGACGACTTAACATCGCCTCTGAATGGTTCAGAGAGTTCACTAGAATCCATCAAAAAGTCTCGTTGCTTGCAAAGAGCCAAGAGGATTGACAGATCCTTAAGGTTCGAAGATGAAAATGAAGAGATGGCAAAGCCTTTGAAGCCACGTAAAGTTGTGAGGTTTCAGTTGGAGAAGAACAAGATTTTCGAGCCCAACAAGCCGGTGAGGTATGAGTTTGAACCTGAGGAGAAGCCTCTGGAAGAGAAAGAAGGTTCGAAGAAGCTTGAAGGGAAGGAGGAAGTTGTGAGGGTTAAGATCAAGATGACCAAGCAAGAAGCTGAAAGATTATTAGCGAAATGTAAAGACGACAGCGTTTTGGATTTGGAGCATGTTGTGGACCAGATTGCATACTTTTCGAATCATCAGCTTCAACTTGATGTGGTTGTGGTTGCTTCTAAGTTATAATGATGAGGAACAAAAGGAGATGGCTGCTGGTTTATCCTTGATGTAATCATTTTTAGTTTGTTTAATTTCAACCGTGTTCATTGAATTTTTGTAGTTTTAGGGTAATATATCTATCAAGTCGTGTACATATATCTGGTCACCTATTAATTAGTAGAAGTAACAAGGTTCTGGGAGTACTTTTATTGTTGTCGCATCTATAATACTGCTGTGTAAATAGGAACGAACTGGGGAAGATTTAAATATTCAAATATGAAAAGAAACATATCATCTCAATCTTATATTATCTTTATGATGGGATACAATTTTGAGGCGAGGAGGTTGGTTTTATTGTACTTTGGATTAAAATCCGGTGGAAAAAATGGTTAAGCCAAGTTTTTGGCATAAAAACGACTGTTAATTCAACTTTTTAGCTAGTTTATATTTGATCCAATATAAAATCTTCACAGTAAAAAGCTTTGATTGATCCCAATATAAAATTGTAAGGTTAATCAAATATATGCGTAACTTGATTAACATTCTCTTTAACAGATATATAATGATTAAAATTATTTTCTTCATCAAGCTACTTTATTTTCTTTTCCACATGTCCAGCGAGGCACGACAGATCTGTCTCATTAATAGCAGTTTACTGTTTTTAATTTTCCGAAGTAGATAGAATTTTGCTGAAATTAACTATTTTTTTAGACGTACGTATTAGTCATACATTCATAACAGTTATGCGTTGTTAGTTGTAGACTTGTAGGGTAAGACTCAAAGAAACACCAAAGTGTGGCATTGAATAAAGAAGACAATCAACTACCCTCACTATTTTGTATTTGATGCTAAGTCATACCTTTTCTTGTCAAATTAATTTGGTTGATAGACTTGTTTAATGAATAAACCATATCAAGTTACGTTATCAATACATCTTCGTGACGTTGGGCGACAAATGCTTGACCACATTGGTCAAGGGTGTAAGTAAGTTTGATGAAAACAGATTGAGATCATATGAAGATAAAAACAACACAACAAGTTTATTTATGTTTGGCACTTGACACACTGAACCTTATACATGAAAGACGAAAATAAAAATACATAGTTTCGTACTTTTTTCGTTGGGATTTCTCTGTGGTAAAACAAGCTTTTGCCAGTTTCAAAACACCGAAGATATATCTCACTTTGAGAATAAATCATTTCTCAAGTGAAGAAAAAAATCCATCGGGAAAAAAAGAGAAAAAAACAGGCAAAAGCAAATTCTCCCACAAAAAAATCCCATTTTAGACAAATATTTTTTTCAAAACTTAATGATCTAAATAAAAGGATTAAGAATAGTAATTACGCGAATGTTTCTTCAGGCCATTCAATGATTCTGTCCAATGAAGGCCTCCATTTTCGACATCTCCTGCGAGACTCCTCCTCTTCCTCAGCAGCCTTTGCTGCTGCTTCTCCGGCAAATCTCTCCGCCTCTAGCTCCCTGAGAAAGTCACCGAAGGATGCCAAAGTTGTCTCTCCTTTGCCTTGGACGTCACCACCGGCATTTAACTGGAAGAGAATGAGTTTCTCTAACTCATCTCTCCTAAGAACAATCTTCACCTTCCTATCTTTTCTGTTGTAATCTTTCTTTACTTCTTTTTCTTCTTCTTGAACCACTCTTTTAAGGTTGTTTCCTCCATTCAAACAGTTTCCCATTTTTTATAAAATATTAAAGCAAAAATTTCAAAACAAAAAGATTTTTGGGAAAATGCCCACAAAAAAAAGTTTGTGGAAGAAAAAAAGAAAACTTGGGAAATACCCAAGAAAAAAAATCTTTCTTCTTCTTCTCTTTTTCTTCTGTGAGTCAATCTGATGGAAGTTGGAGACTTGCAGGGATCAATGTGTGATATGGTGTTTATATACAATGTTGAGCTTGGTCTGTTTAATGATAGATGGATGACTCATAGTAAGGATGCTGATCTGTTGGATTTATATTTTTTAAATGTACATTATCGTTACTCTTTATTAATTATAAATTCAACCAACAAAAAAATTGTTATTCGGTTATGAAGATGCTTAGTTTGTTATAGTTTAATTGAACACCAACAACAAAAATGGGACTAAGAGATATAGCTCAAAGCTAAACAAACCTTAACTATAGTTCAATATCACTAACGACAACTGGGGATAGCTGGACTAGTTCAGCCGACATTCATCTAAATTCGAGATGAATTTGCAGCTAACGCATTTTAAATTATCAAACTGACTAGATTATAATATCCAATTCACTTACAAGATATATACTATAATACCACCACCACATAGTGGTATAAGCACGGAGATTGTTTTTTGTTGGACTCTTTGGTTTGAAATCTGATGAAATTGCCGTTTTACACCAATGCATGTTTATAGCATTACCACATACTTTTCTGGTTATGGATCAAGAGGCGATTAAAGCTTAAGGTCCAGTTTCCTTCCATATTAAAAAGAATAGTTTATGTTGATATATCTTTGTCTAATAATCTCAAAATTGTTTGGAATGTAGCTCTTTCAAGGAGGAAGTACGTCTCCACCTCGAAAAGCAAGTATATATAAACGAAGTTAAAATAATAACTAAACCCTAAAAATTCAATGCAATGTGAGTACGTCGATTATATATGCTGCATGCGTCGAAATTATTATTCGATGACATATTTACACGTAGAGGACACAAGAAAGCAAGTTCATGTTCCCTCCGGTTAGGTGGTGCCTTTAAACCAAACCAAAACCGTGTTAAAACCTGGCAACGCACATTTATACCAACCACCAACCTGTCTTGTTTCCTTCTTGTTTTTTTATAACGTTCGCTAGATTCATTCAATGGTATAGTACTTTATTTCGAATATTAAACCCATCTACTCTTATTAAAAATAAATGTCACATGCTACTAGCTTATCGACACATATCACATTCATCTTCGTTTCCCATGGAAATTAATCATTGATAGTAATTTAGAATCCAATAATTCATAGTATGATCTGTTTCAAACAATGTCAAACCACTTCTTTCCGGGTTTTAGGGTCCAAAAGACCAAAATAATACAAGATCGATTTAATATAACTACAAGAAATCGATGTTTAAAATTCAATCGCAACCAAACTATAAGCATTTGAGAAATATAAAACACTCTCGTTTCTCGTAAGCTATACGATGTGCAAATACAGTTGAAACCGTTGGCATGTGGCTATATCGTCTGAATATGTGCGATTGTGATGTGTTAACCATAATTACTGGCACTCTTAATTATACTAATAACGTACTTATGAACAGCAAATAATTCAGCATATTTAATTACTATAGAATGTATAGTACTTGCAAGCGCAAAATGTCATTAATAAGTGGTCTTATCATGGTGTTTATAGCTACGCGTTATATAATTGTTGGATGGTATCAATTCTTATCAATGGACGAAGCTTCGTGGAAATTGCGTAAAGGCCAACAAGTACGTAGCGGTGTCACGGGGTCTGTCGTTTATTTTCATTCGCATTCAAGGGGCCTTTAAGTTTACAATTTTAATCAAACTAGGTGTTTCTTTAAAAAAAAAATATAAGATACTTATTTTCTTTTTTTAAAATAACAAAAAGACAATAACTGACGTGGATATATTAGTTTTTTGTTTCCGACTAACAAATTATTATTTGTTTGTAGTTAAGCAATAATATTCATTTATCCATCATCATCATCATAGCTTTTCCTGTTTAATAAAAGGTTGTCATCCCTTTCAACAAGATTTATTTTGTTATCATCTCACTCGTATCTTATACGGGGCTCACATGTAAACTGAATTTGGTCCCAAGCCCAACACATAAAACTTTGTCGTTTAGATTGCCTAATGTTTAAGACCATGCTTGACTAATTTACGGTTTAGTCTTCTATGCCACCAACAAGTCCAAGTATAAGGGTTCCATCTCAAGAAGTTAACATAGACTATTTGTTTTGCATAAATCCATCCATGGTCAAAAGACTCAAAACAATAGACCTGAAAGAGTTTCAGTTCTTTTTCTAACAAAAAACCTTGGATGTTAAAACCATTTGACTAAATGGAAAACAAGAAGAAAAAAATGAACTGATATTTGTAAAATTCAATATTCTAATTCATATAAAACTAGCTGAAAACAAAAGTAAATAGTAGTCATAGAACTAGTAGTTTATATTGTAGATAATAGTCTGGTGTTACACAAAAGCTTCAACCTCCATACACTGAAGTACAAAGTTGTTTTTGCATAACTTTAGGAGCTAAAGACAGTCTAAGGAGCAGAGGAACCTCCTCACTCTTCATTTGAAACCAACGAAACAAACATACCTAAAGAAAGTTCACATGAGATGTGGAAATAAACGACTCTAATACATTTATAACTCATACCTCCTCTCATCATTGACTACTTAAACTCACTCCATCCTTTTGCGTTTATTTTTCAGCTTTGAGAACATCTCCTCAACATCTTCAGACGTTATCGCCCTTGAAGTACCAGCAGACTCCTACAAAAAAACAATCATCAAGGTGTTTTTTTTTAAAGATGTGGATCAATCAAAGAGGGTTCATGGGAAATAAAAGTTCTTTCAAATGTATACCAGTAAACTCCGGAACTCTTCTTTGAAGTCTTTGATGCCGTGAAAGATCTCAACTTTAGCTACATGGCCGAGATTGTTCAGAAGATCAAGTGCTTCACCTTCCTGTTTCTCCAGTTTCTCTGTTCTTTTCTCCTTTGCCTTATTCTCGTATTCAGCAATCGTGTCCTCTGCATCAAGTAGATAGCTTACCTTTCTCTCGCTGTACATCTCAAGGCACTTCTCGCATTTGCATAACATGTTCCTCCAGGCTTTGATCAAGAACAGCGGTTTCTTCTCAAACTCAGGACACGAGGTTAGACCATTCGCAATAGCACAACCAGACGCAGGATAGGGTTCAGATTCGGTAAGCTTCTCAGAGCATCCTTTCAAAACAGATTTTTCAGCTTCAGTACCGTTCTCAGGCTTGACGGGTTCAGAAGCTGTGGGGGTTTGGTTTAACCCGGCAGTGTCTGAACAAGTATTAGCAGAACCATTGGAATCAATTTTAGCGGCATCCCACAGTTTCTCGGGATAAAGAGTGAGAAACGAACAAACTGGAGAGCAGTTTAGACAAATGAAATCCTCATACGCAGGCTCTCCTTCCTCATTCCTTGGAATCTGTTACCATCACATTTAAAACAAAAAATTGAACTAAAAACACCAAAAAAAGGTTAATCATTCAGCTCTGTCCACAAACCTGGCTACTAACACCATCCGAAGATTTGTAACCGAAATGCTCCTCGTGAAACCAATCCTCACAGATACAACACTGTATCATATCCACTTGTTCCTCCACATTTGGGTCAGGGTAAGGTTGGTCGCAAACGCAGTACAAGCCTTTGAAGTTATGGTTGTAAGAATTCTCAGTGTTCTCTACATCTTTCCCCGGGAGAAGCTTACACGCTAAAGTTCCAAACTTGGAGTTCCCACAGTCACACCGCAAGTTCCTCTTAGTCCAGAGCTCCAAAAGCTTTTCATAACCAAAAGAACAAAAAATCAGAATCAAAATCAGATAAGACATAATCTGTAAATATATATGTACCTCATGGCCATCATGACAAGTTAAGCAACAGGCAGTACAAACTCCAGCGTTCCCTTCTGGAGTACATGTAATGCATGAGAAAATGGCCTGTCTTTTCATGTAACCCTTTGGGTAAGTACACTCATCTCCCTCATCTCCACCCAACACCAAATCCGCTTCCTTCAAGTATCAAGAATCACCAAAAAAAAAAAAAGTTAATAATACCCAAATAACTAGTGATTACACAAAACAAACAAAACATTCTGGAAAAAAAGCAGTGATGAACAAATAAAACCCAATTTATAGAATTTGATAAGAACAGTTGAAGACACACACACATAATCACTAGCAGGCTAGAGACTGTACAATAACCTTCCAAAATATTCTGTTTACACGAATAAGAGAAAAAAAAAACAATTTTTAAACTTTTTATGATTAACCCAGAAGGGGAAATTCTAAAACAATAAACCTTTTTTGTCATTTTAGAATCAAAAGAAAATGATGATTTACCAGCTCTTCGGCATCCATACTTTCAATATACTCCTTGATCGACACAGTTGCGTCAGCATCATCCTCAAAACCACCACCCGATGCCATTTTTAAAAAAATTAATCCACAAAACCGATTACTCTTTCCACTATTTTCACACCTGCAAACACATATAGAATTGAAATTGGATGTAAGGAGAAGCTATTGGTAACATTCAACGAGTGAATCCCTAAATAAATAAAAAAATTGAAAACCCTAGATTCCTTTGCTAAAAAACACCAATCGCTTACTAATAGAGAGTTTCAGAAGATTAAAAAAAAATTAGGGTTATTTAATTTTGGAATACAGAAGAACATACGAACGCAGAGTGAGAGCTAGAGAGAGAGGAGTGAGAAATTACGGTGTGAAGCTGAGTACGCTAGAACTGAGGATCTGGCGAGTTCAAGGTTGTTATATAAACCCAGGGACTTTATCGTCCTTTTCCCGCCAATTATCCACAATTCTGTTTTCCCTCCATCTTTTTTTTTTCTCTTCCATTAATATTTGTTGAATGTTTTTGTTTTCATTTTGTTCAGTTCTCGATTCAACTAAATGTCAAGAAGCTTTCATTTATAGTATAACTTCTTTAAATTAATATTCTATAAATTAATATAAACTAAATTTTTTTATAAATTAATTAAAAGTTATAGTTTTGGTGTAATCCTATCATTATTAATTTATAGAAGTTTCAATATATTTATTTTATAATATTTGGATAGTATTCTTATTCCGTAGACAATACTTGAATTTAGTTAACAGAATTCCTAATTTACTGTACAAGCCTACAAAGTGAATGGATATAAAGTCAACTTTTGGTTTTATGCAGACTTTATTGTAATAATAATCTAACATCTTCAACTTTTTTAAAAAAAATTCAGCTTTCAGAGGATTTTTGTTTAAAACTGCCTACTTATAGACAAAAAATAAAAGAAACTGGCTGTAAATGTGTTTTTTTTTTAAAAAGCTTTATAAATCAAATAGATTTGATTAAGATAGAATAACTCTTCTGTTACGTTACTATCCATAGCATCATAATAAATTCATATGGACGGCACCGTCTCCTTAATGGGCTTTAATATGAACAGACGTAGCCCATTAAAAGTTTGACCAAGGATTTGCTGACGTTTTGACACCCAATGGTCAGCCAACAGCAACCAATCATCAAAGTCGCAGTAGGTATTACTCCCGATCCGCAAAGCCGCGTGGGTCCCTCCCTCTATTAAACACTCGTTTTACAAATTAGCAGAGAGAAAGTTCTAGTCCTAGTCTTCTAGAGAGAGAAAGCGAGAAAGAGAGATTATATCGATCATGTCTCAGCAGCAGCAGCCGAAGAAACTCATCTTCCAAGTCGAGGAAGGGAGAGAAGGTAGCGATGGAAGACCTTCCGTTGGACCTGTGTACCGAAGTGTCTTCGCCAAGGACGGCTTCCCTGAGCCGATCGAAGGAATGGATAGTTGCTGGGACGTTTTCCGGTGAGATTCTCGCTCCGATCAGATGCTTGAGTCTAGTGTTTTGATCTGTGAATCTAATCGTTGACTGTTGACTAACCGTGGAAACTGATCTGACTTCGATTTTTGAATTTCTCAAGTAGTAAGAATCGTAGAGTTTTAGTTTCTAGCTACTGTGGGTATGGCCTAAGAATTACGAGATCTACGTTTAGTATTGCACGGTCGATCTGAAGAGCTACGTTTTGGTTTAAAAATGTTTATTGACTTGTTGATTTGGAGTGCATGCGTTTGGTTTAGTGATATTGTTTGGCTTGACATGATTCTTCTTTGTTTGCAGGATGGCTGTTGAGAAGTATCCAAACAATCATATGCTTGGCCGCCGTGAGATTGTAGATGGAAAGGTGTTGTCTACTGTTTTTCTTTTTTTTTGGTATTTTCGTTATTTATAGATGTATTCACTTATGTATTTCATTGTGCTCAGCCTGGGAAGTATGTATGGCAAACGTACCAAGAAGTCTACGATATTGTTATTAAGCTTGGAAACTCTCTCAAAAGTTGTGGAGTTGAGGAGGTTAACATCCATCTTCAGTCTAGTCATTTCCTGTTTATTCGCCGGAATGTGATTGTTCCGTTTGCTTAATGTTGTGTTTGTTCATTTTGTGGGTGTTTTAGCAAGCAAAATGTGGTATCTATGGTGCTAATTCTCCCGAGTGGATCATAAGCATGGAGGTAATCTTGCGGCTCGATCATTGTACAATCATGGATTGTGGTTTTGGTTAGAGGACTGACAGTGCTCTCTTTTTATATGCAGGCGTGTAATGCACATGGACTTTATTGTGTTCCTTTGTATGATACACTAGGCGCTGGTGCTGTGGAATTCATTATTACCCATTCTGAGGTTTCAATTGTCTTTGTGGAGGAGAAGAAGATCTCTGAGGTACAGTATGAATATATCTTCATTGTTTAGATTCATTATCTATTGATTTCTCATATTTCCTTTTATTTTCTTGTGACTATCAGTTGTTTAAGACATGCCCAAAGGCTACAGAGTACATGAAGAGTGAGTTATTCTTATTTGTGTTTCTTCCCTTTTGGCTTTTAACATGTTTTGCTAACTATCAGTTGTGCTTGATTATAAATACAGCCGTTGTGAGCTTTGGTGGTGTCACACCTGAACAAAAAGAAGCTGCTGAAACTTTTGGGTTGGTTGTATATGCTTGGGATGAATTTTTGAAACTGGTATGTGACTTGTATATTTTGTGTTATTTTTTTTCCGGTGGTACAACTGTTTTAACTTTTGACTGCGAATATTTCTTCCAGGGCGAAGGAAAGCAATATGATCTTCCCATCAAAAAGAAGAGTGACATTTGCACGATTATGTATACTAGTGGAACCACTGGTGACCCAAAGGGAGTGATGATATCTAACGAAAGCATTGTTACCCTTATCGCTGGAGTGATCCGTCTACTGAAAAGTACTAACGAAGCCGTGAGTTTCCTTCTTGCTTTCTTGCATTTGTCATGATTCACAAAGACGCTAAAATCTTCTAGTATCTCTTGGCTCTGGTTTTAATCGATTTTCTGTTTTGGCTGTTTAAATCAACAGTTGACTGTGAAAGACGTGTACCTTTCTTATCTTCCTCTTGCCCACATCTTTGACCGAGTTATTGAGGAGTGTTTTATCCAACATGGTGCTGCAATTGGTTTCTGGCGTGGGGTCAGTACAGCTCAAAGCTTCTCATGCAAACCAGTTTTGAATTTTTTTTCTTTAACCTTCTTTGGGTTGTCTACACAGGATGTCAAGTTGTTGATAGAAGACCTTGGGGAGCTTAAACCAACTATTTTTTGCGCTGTGCCTCGTGTCCTAGATAGAGTTTACTCAGGTAAGATGTTTGGAATGCCCCGTGCCTATGTATACTCAATTCCTCACTTTATTGAATTGTGCTCTAGTATCATTTGCTTATCTCAGACAACTACATTTGTCCCACCTAACTCTTTCATGAAACTTTTACAAATTAATTCAATAAAAGTATTTGTGATAAGCTTTCAGTCTTTCTTCTTTGGTGGTAGACTCATTTTTTCTTCATGTACAATTTCCTTTTTTCTTCGAGCAATTAATTGCCTTTCATATCATTGATTTACATAGTTTCTTCTCTGTAACTGCTTTTCCGAGTTTTAATTTGTCGACCTATTATGTTCAACAGGTCTTCAGCAGAAGCTTGCTGCTGGTGGTTTCTTCAAAAAGTTTATGTTTGATTCTGCATTTTCCTTGTAAGTCAGACTTCATTTTCCTTAGCTATTCCACTGATCTTTAAGCTATTAAATCTAACATATTCAAAAATCATCAGTAAATATGGACATATGAGGAAGGGACAGTCTCATGCGGAGGCCTCTCCATTATCTGACAAACTTGTATTCAGCAAGGTAGTAAAATTCTTTATCTAAATAAACTCACTAGAAAATTATCTGGGGAACCTATCACTCTTCGTTATGAAAATTTATAGCAACTTTATCACATTGTTTTCTGACTCAGGTTAAACAAGGGCTCGGAGGCAATGTGAGGATCATTCTATCGGGAGCTGCTCCTCTCGCTAGTCATGTAGAGTCGTTTCTCAGAGTTGTCGCTTGCTGTCATGTTCTTCAAGGATACGGTACTCATTCCCAAAAATTGAGTTCTTTAGACCCAAATGAACTGCATAAACTATACATAAGTTGGTTGACTGTTAATGTCCGATGACTGGGGGAGTAGGGGTACAGTATGAATTAACTTTGACCAAAATGGGAGTTTGGTTGTAAACGTTTTGTTTTACTTTTAAGGCTTCTCCTTGAGTTAATGCAATTGGTTCAGTTCTAATATACTTGTGCAGAGGTGATTAATGCTTGTTAGGATATCAAAGTCTATACTAGAGTGTTACAAGATATTGATCCATATGAACAGTGAATGTGATTTGAATGCTTTCTTGTTTTATGATTGTTCTTTTGTAGGTCTAACCGAGAGCTGCGCTGGAACTTTTGTGTCGCTGCCAGACCGACTGGACATGCTCGGGACTGTTGGACCACCAGTGCCAAACGTTGATATACGCCTTGAATCTGTCCCCGAGATGAACTATGATGCTCTTGATAGTACTCATCAACGTGGTGAAATCTGCATTCGTGGAAAGACCCTGTTCTCTGGATACTACAAACGCGAAGACCTTACAAAGGAGGTTCTTATTGATGGATGGCTGCACACAGGTATTTCTTTATCTGAACCCATATTCAAATAAGAACAACGTTAAAATATCTGCTTTTGTAATCCGGTGAGTTCTTCTGACACTATGCTTCTCGCCATGAGATCAGGTGATATTGGTGAATGGCAAGGAAATGGAAGCATGAAGATAATTGACAGGAAGAAGAATATCTTTAAACTCTCACAAGGAGAGTATGTTGCGGTGGAGAACTTGGAGAACATATACGGTGAAGTACAAGCTGTTGATTCCGTAAGTATAGTTACCGAGTTGCTGTAAGAATATAGAAAATAGCTTACTTGGGGTTTGGGAAAGATTCTCATCTGCTAATAATCACAATCTTTTCCAATAAAACTTATTAGGTGTGGGTGTACGGGAACAGCTTTGAATCCTTCCTAGTGGCAGTGGCCAATCCAAACCAGCATATCCTTGAAAAATGGGCTGCAGAACACGGTGTGAGCGGTGACTACGACGCTCTCTGTCAAAACCCAAAGGCAAAGGAGTTCATCCTTGGGGAACTTGTCAAAATGGGCAAAGAGAAAAAGGTGCTTCTTTCTCTTTATTTTCATCCAAGTTATATGGATTCATGACTCTTTGTATCTTCTTCTTTTAATTCATTTTGAGTTGTTGTGTTGGATATTACAGATGAAGGGGTTCGAGATCATTAAGGCGGTTCACCTAGACCCAGTGCCGTTTGACATGGAACGCGATCTTCTTACTCCGACCTTCAAAAAGAAGAGGCCTCAATTGCTGAAACACTACCAGGTAAAACATATAAAATGTAGTATTACAAATATCTAATGTCGTTAAGCGTTAACACAAGTGTCTTCATTCCCTGTTTGACAGAATGTGATTGATGAAATGTACAAGACCACAAATGAGAGCTTAGCTTCCAGAAAGTAAATTCCTCCTCAAACATCACTCTCGGTCTGTCTCTGTTTTTTCTTTTGCTTTGGGTCTCTCACTGTTTATGACGAGACTTTGTTAGTAGGCTCTTACATCATGCGTGTACAATATTTGGATATTTCATAGCCTCAGATCAGAGCTGCTAAACTTTGTCTTCTTACTTATTCTCTTTTCAAATTCACTCCTATCTGTTGAATTACTAAGTTTAAATGTTAATCCTTTCAAACTCTTGAGCTTACAGTATCCACATCTTGCGGTTTCGCTGATTTTTAACTACGTTTAAGAGATTTGTTTTAAATTCCAAGATGATATGCTGAATATTCTTATTCTCGAAGCATTCGTGAGTATTACACATACTTTGAGCTCGGCTTAATCTCTTTCTCTATCAAGAACAGTTAACAAAAAAGCTTGTTTTTGAAAATGCACCTATGAAACTCCTGGCAACAGCAGCAGAAAGTTCAAAGAGCAACTCACATATAAAATTTTCAGTACACTAACATGAATGAAGTGCCTGGAGAGAGGAGAGCTCAAGCTGTAATCAGTTACAGGTAAGTTCCAGCTTCCTTAACGCCGGTCTGTGAAATCCACGACTTCTCCAAATTTACAAGGACTAGATAGAGGTGGTATAATATTAATACCAGCATATGACCCATTTTTCACCGAAGAATCCTATTAGGCCGCTAATTCACACGATATATGGCCCATTAAGACACGTGCTTTGCTTCCACTAAACGTTGTCTCTTACGCACAAACTTTCACACACGTTATTCATTGCGCGCTTTATTATTGCTCCATTAAATAAATGCAACTACTAAGGAAAGAATCGATTCTGCAAGACTTTCTCTCAAGCTCAAACTTTACTCATCACTCTCATCCACAATGTGGCGTTTCTCCGTTTCGATTCTCCTCTTCTCATACCTAGCCATCTCTTCGTCCTCGTCCGTTGATTCGACAGCGACATGCTCAGGAATAGTCCCGTTACGGAACCGGAACGATAAGATATCGATAACAGACTTCGGCGGCGTGGGAGATGGCAGGACGGTGAACACTAAGGCGTTTAGGGAGGCGATATATAGGATACAGCACCTTAAGAGAAGAGGAGGCACGCTTCTGTATATACCACCGGGTGTGTTTCTCACGGAGAGCTTTAATCTCACCAGCCATATGACTCTCTTCTTGGCTAAAGGCGCTGTTATCAAAGCTGTTCAGGTTTCAAATATATTTCAACTCAGTACTAATTATATGATCAGCTGCTCGAAAAGATGTTTTCCCATTACATTATTGTCAAATTTATAGATATTTATAAGTCAAATTTTATAGATTTGTTTTCATTACAATATTGTCAAATTTATAGATATTTAAAGTCAAGTATTCCAAAAGTAGAAATGATTTTTCTTTTCTTGATCGCTTGCTTGGATCTGAATTCTGAAACTGTAAATAAGTTGATCTTTCTAATTAAGGAGTAATAATTATTATGAAAGAAACAAGAAGATGTGGGGAACCATGCACGTATATTAATTAATACTAACTAGTTTGGGATATGGGAGTAGTTTTAGTAGGTCCGAGCATCATGGGACCGTCGGGGCTAAAACGTTATTGTATACATGTGGGTGCACTGCTTTTATGTCTAGGTTTCAATAGCTGACCCCAGAGATAGCTGGCGATTTTTGTCCTGTTATCCTATTTTGTCAAAATTCTGGTAATATTATTGTATACTCTATTAGTGTATACTTATCATATATTATTAAAAACCTGAGTGATAATTGTAAATAAATGTTGGTTAGAGTGTTTTTAAAGTTATACGAGTGTGGACAGTTTTGTTTTCATCGTCGTTTAGTGGGAGTCTCACATCAACTCCGAGTATGATGCTGCCATATATGTTAAACAAAGGTCAAGACAACTTTGGTTAAAGCTAGGAGATGCAAATACTAGCTATTTCCACGCAGTTACTAAAGGAAGAAGAGCAAAGAATAAACTGACAGTACTAGAGGATGAGGAGGGGCTTGCACACTTTGAAGAGGAGAAAATTGCAGATGTTATCTGCAAATATTACACAGACCTGTTCATATCAGTTCCCTCTGATGGAAGCAGTATTGTTGATAAAGCACTAACCTCCTGCGTCACGCAACAGATGAATGAGCTCCTCATCAAACCTCCTTCGGCTATCGAGATCAAAGAAGCCCTTTTCGCTATTCATCCAGATAAAGCCCCTGGGCCGGACGGTTTCTCAGCTAGCTTTTTTCAATCAAACTGGCAGGTAGTGGGGCCAGCTATTGTTCAAGAAATCCAGACTGTCTTCTCCTCAGGTCACCTGCCACAGTCAATGAATGTTACTCATGTCAGACTTATTCCAAAAAGCACAGGAGCTAAGGGAGTAATGGACTACAGACCAATAGCACTCTGCAATGTGTTCTACAAAATTATTTCTAAGCTTCTATCCCTGCGACTAAAGCCGGTGCTAAACTCTATTATCTCAGAAAATCAATCTGCCTTTGTCCCGGGGAGGGCAATATCAGATAACGTTCTAATTACTCATGAAGTCCTACACTATTTGAAGACCTCAACAGCTCAAAAAAACTGTGCAATGGCAGTGAAATCAGACATGAGTAAGGCCTACGATCGTGTGGAATGGGAGTTTATCATCCTAGTGTTCCGGAAACTAGGATTTCATGAGAGTTGGATCAACATAGTAATGCAATGTATAACCTCAGTCTCCTACTCCTATCTGATTAATGAATCAGTATACGGGAAAGTAACTCCATACCGGGGAATACGCCAAGGAGACCCCCTGTCCCCTTACATCTTCATCTTATGTGGGGAAGTTCTGTCGGGTCTGTGCAAACAAGCTAGCAACAACCGCACGCTGACTGGTCTCCGTGTGGCAAGGGGAAGTCCACGCATCAACCATCTACTGTTCGCAGATGACACAATGTTCTTCTGCCACTCCACTCCAGAGAACTGCACAGTACTCAAAGAGATCTTACATGACTATGAGATGGCATCTGGGCAAAAAATAAACAAGGCTAAATCGTCAATCACTTTCTCCAGCAAAACGCCCCCAGAGAAGAAGATCATTGCTAAACAGATCTTAGGTATTCAAAAAGAGGGGGGTATGGGGAAATACTTAGGGCTACCTGAGCATTTTGGTAGGAAAAAGAAGGATCTATTCACAGCTATCGTTGACCGTATACGACAGAAGGCTCAAAGCTGGTCGACTAGGCGCCTCTCAAGAGCTGGACGAATGACCATGATTAAGGCAGTGCTAACTGCGATCCCCTCCTATGCTTCATCCTGCTTTCTGCTGCCTGCAAGTTTATGCAAAAGAATCCAATCAATACTAACTAGATTTTGGTGGGATGGAAACAATGAAAGAAGGAAAATGTGTTGGGTGTCATGGTCAAAGCTCTCAAAGCAGAAGAAGGAGGGTGGCCTAGGGTTTCGAGATGTTCAAGCTTTTAACCATGCAATGCTAGCAAAGGTGTCTTGGAGAATTTTGACAAAACCTGATTGCTTGCTAGCGAGAGTGCTAACAGGAAAATATTGCCACAAAAAGAAGTTCATGGATGTGGCAGCGCCTGCTTCCTGCTCTCATGGTTGGAGAGGGATACTCTGTGGCAGAGACCTTCTGAAGGAAAATGTGGGAAAAGCAATTGGGAATGGCCTCAACACTAGAGTCTGGAAAGACTCGTGGATCTCGCTGTCTGAAAATATTAAACCCTATGGCCCTGTTACAGAAGAAGTCAATGATCTTACTGTCTCTGATTTTCTCACAACAGAGAAGAAATGGAACGAGAAACGTATTAAGGAAGTGCTACCTGACTTTGTCTCCCAAATTATGTTATTACAACCAAGTCAAACAGGTGCTGAAGACCACTACGTATGGCTACCAACGAGCACGGGAATTTACTCTGCCAAATCTGGATATCATGCTCTACGAGCAACAGAAGAGCAATACATCCAAAATTCCATGGCCTTGGTCACTGATTTTGATTGGATCCGGGACGTTTGGGCAGGAAGTTTCTCTCCAAAGCTCAAAGTTTTCGTCTGGTCAATCATACAAAGGGCTTTACCTATAGGAGAAAATCTCAAGACTCGTGGCCTGGTAGCTGCAACAAACTGCATCCGCTGTGGGGAAGAGGAAACTACAACGCACATATTCTTCGACTGCCTTTTTGCTCAAAATGTCTGGCAGGAAATACCATTGACAACAACACCAGTTCACCTAGCTGGCTCCCCCGACTTTAAAAGGATGATGGTCCTGTTCAGGTCCATAAAGTGTCTGCCTCCCTCTGGGATCACCGGCAATGTTCTCCCGTGGACTTGCTGGGCCATATGGAACGCAAGAAATCAACTCCTGTTCGAAAACCGGGTATTCTCAAGCAAGGAAACGGCGCTGAAAGGGATACAATCAGCAAGAGAATGGACCTTAGCACAAGATTGTAACAAGATCCAAACAATTTCTTTACCTTACTCTAGGAGCTCCACACGCCGATCTCAACACCCCCAAATCGAAGCCTGCAGACTTGTTCAAACCGATGCATCTTGGGACAAAATTACTAAGACTGCAGGTTTAGCCTGGATCTTCGAAGCCACAGAGTCGGAACCTGAACGCAGGGGATCATTACTAGCTCAATCAGTTGCTTCACCACTGATGGGAGAAGCCCTTGCTGTGAAATCAGCTCTCCTCTCGGCAGCTACACTGGAATATAATGTTCTCAGGATAAGCTCCGACAATCAAACTCTCATAAGAGTACTGAACGACAAACTCTTCGACAAGGAGATATATGGGATCTCTCACGACATCTCAACCCTCTCCTCTGCTCTGTTTGTTGATGTTACTTTCATTTTCCTTCCTAGGGCTGAGAATGTAAAGGCCGATGCCCTTGCAAAAGCCTCTCTCAGAACCCATTTAGTTGTATCAGGTCCGTAATGGGCCTAAACCAGACTCCTCTCTATTTATCTAAGTAATGTTGCCCAAAAAAAAAAAAAAAAAAAAAAAAGATTCTCTGATTGGTTTTGTCTTCAAGTGTGTGAAAACAAGAAAAAACTAGTGCTTTGTCATTGGACTGTATGTTAATGTGTGTGTCTTATGATCGATTTTGAGCTTTGTTCGTAATATTTTAGTCACGGCCATTTCGTTTCTGCAGGATACATGGAACTGGCCATTGATTGAACCTTTGCCATCTTATGGAAGAGGGAGGGAGTTACCAGGGGCACGGTATATGAGCTTTATTCATGGTGACGGCCTTCGTGACATAGTCATCACTGGTGAGTTTGGACCCTTTTATACTTACATACCTGATTAGTGTAACACTTTTTGACATTGTACATTGCAAAATCTATATCCACAGGAGAAAACGGGACAATAGACGGTCAAGGAGAAGTGTGGTGGAACATGTGGCGTAGTAGAACGCTAAAGTTCACTAGACCGAATCTAATCGAGCTCAAAAACTCTAAGGAGATCATAATCTCCAATGTTATTTTCCAGAATTCTCCCTTCTGGAACATTCATCCTGTGTACTGCAGGTACATAAGCTAGTTACTACCTTTTAAAATTTCCCAAACATGAATATATCTTCCTCTGCTTCTAGTATTTGACTCTGTTCCTTATTATTAATCTGTGGTCAGCGATGTTGTTATCCATCACGTTACCATCTTAGCTCCACAAGATTCGCCCAACACTGATGGAATCGATCCAGGTTTTGTACAACCCTTAAACTCTCTTTTTCAATCAACAATAGACTACTACTAGATTGGTTGCTGAGTTAAATACATATCAAACATGTTTACCTAAGAACTTGAAACATGTTTTTGTATAGTAACTATTCTGTGTTATACAACGTAGCTACAGGGCCGCATGTGATGTGAGCTTAGCCAAACATTGATTTTAGCCACTAATTTTTGTTAGAATTTATACAAAGTAGAAATTGCTCCCAAATCATTTTTTTTTTCTAAATATTTAAGTTCTTAATAAATGTTAGGTCCGGCCTGGCTTATCTCGGTGTGCAAACTTGAGATTTTAGTGTCTAATTTGTAATGACAGAACTTTTATCTTAATTAGAGATTTTTTTTCTAATTTTGTTGATAGATTCCAGCTCCAACGTCTGCATAGAAGACTCCTACATCTCAACAGGAGACGACCTAGTTGCCATAAAAAGCGGTTGGGACGAGTACGGAATCGCTTTTGGCCGTCCAAGCTCAAACATAACTATACGCCGCATCACAGGATCGACCCCTTTCGCAGGTATCGCAATAGGAAGCGAAACATCTGGTGGCATCAAGAACATCCTAGCAGAACACATCACTCTATCCAACATGGGCGTTGGAGTCAACATCAAGACAAACATTGGTCGTGGAGGATACATCAAAAACATCAAAATCTCCAACGTGTATGTGGAAAACGCAAGGTACGGGATCAAGATCGCTGGCGACACGGGAGATCACCCAGACGCGTTTTATAACCCAAACGCTCTTCCAGTCGTTAAAGGAATACATATTAATAACGTTTGGGGAGTTAACGTTCAAAACGCTGGATCCATTCAAGGCCTTAAGGATTCACCTTTTACTGGTAAAGTTATATATATGTTTTTTTAAGTATTCAATCATATGCTTGATTATTATATAACATTGATAAATAAAAATTTACAGGGATATGTTTGAGTGAGATTAATATACATGGAAGCTTGAATACGTATCGGACGTGGAAGTGTTCGGATGTTATTGGAACTTCGCTGAAGGTTAGTCCTTGGCCTTGTTCGGAGCTGAGAACTACTGGTGGGTCTTATTCGTGTTCTTCCACTTTCTGAAGACTTCTGAGCAAGTTTTTTTCATCGATTCGTTTATTTAAACATATTTAATCACGAATTTGCATACATTGATCTATTTATATGTTTGTATTTCTGGAAATTTCAAATTATATATTTAATTATGTAATGGATACAAATTATAATAAAAATATATAGTTGTATGAGTGATTAAGTTTATATATTACGTTGCCAAAAAATTCTTCAAATATATATAAAACAGGATTTTTAAGTGTATGATTCATCATACCTTGGAGTTTATGGTCTACTTGTTTATACTACTAAAGTTGTTGACAAGTTGTATTGTTTATTGAATTCAGTTTCGATAATGTGTATAGACAAATAAAATTTAGAAGTTATGATTTAGGGTATTTTTATCCCCACTCTATATTTTACTCTAAAATAGAGTGGAAAATGAAATAATTAATTAAAAGTAAAATATTAGTCCATAAATAAAGTAATGTTTTTATTTTCTACTCATTAGTTTATTTTCTATTTTATTTTTAAATATATTATGAAGTGAGGATAGAGACTCTTACAAATGTTATAATGTTATAGTTATTATCTTTGTTCTCTTTTTAGTTCACTTCCGTGAAACCTTCTTGGTCAATGATTGAAAAATGCTAGTGTGGAAATGAAAAACAAAGCCAGTCTCGAATAATTAGAACGCATTAGGTTCATTGATTTATTTGATTGGTAGATTAAGTCAAACTAATTTTGTTTAACCTAAGTCAAATTAAAGAAAAAGTCAAACTAATTAGGATAGATATTATAATACTCTTTAACGTGATCAACTTACCAGGCCTCTATAAATCGGCAGTGAGATGAACCAAAGTCAGTCACTCAAAAGATTTGCAATAAGAAAACAAAAATGGCAAATTCGAGCAAAGAACTCTATTATGTATTTTTGAAAAGAGATTCTGAGTACGAGCGTCTTAAAGAAATCCGGTAATATAGATATACAACCCGTTATAAGTATGCATGTTGTTTAGCATTTTGTGTGTATATAATACACGCAGGTTAACTATGTTCATATAGAGTCGAGCTTAACTTTTTCTTTCTTTTTTTATTTTGCTAAAATTTGGATAAATTGAATGGTTATCCTATATAGTTATATAGTCCAGACTTAACTTAGTAAATTGAATGTTTATGTAGGACAAAGAAAGGAGAAGAAGAGTTGGATAGGTACCTAGAAAGGAGACACGAGGAGATTCTTGGAAGTAATCTTGAGCCTGGCTCTTACAAGAGGACTGTGTCTCTTGTTGTTGTTCACGGTTTTGGTGTTGAGATGACCAAGCATCAGGTAATCAATACATGCATACATATGCCCATGTATATGTCGGGGGTTCCTATGCATTTGTAATTATATGTTTCGTCGATTGTTTATAGTTTGATGTTGTTGTTTATACAGGCCGAAGTGCTAAGATCAGCCGATGGGGTGTATACAGTAGAAAAGAACGAAGAAATTTAATTTGTGTCGAGTTAGAAAAGAAGAAAAGAGAAGGAAATAAGCAACATTATATATTTTTTATGTTTTTTAACTTAATATGCAACATTATATTGAGACTTTGAATCATTATAATCGATGGGTGAGAAAAGGTTATATAATTGTATTAATCGATGCAAATGAAATGTCAGTCCCAAATGTTTGCTTATTTTTTGCGTCCATTGCGATCCAACAAAATATATGGGCGTCTCCTGACATATTAGTCACCGAAAGAGTAAACAGTTTTATCGAGAATCATGCGGATATGTCATACTGTTACAATGCAAGGTGTGTGGTCAAACTTTCACTTTCGTACATTCAAGTATTTGCATCTTATTTTTGGGCCAAGTAAAAATTAGATATGGGCTTCAATCGTAGCCATGTTGATCCGATCCTCACGGGAGCCCACATGAAACTTCATTTTCTTGTCTCACGCACAGTCGCATCAACGTGGAAGACAAGCGTATTACGTTCACTTGATTAGAATAGCTCGTAAATTACATGAGAGGACACTATATAAATGTACATTAACAAAATGTTTGAGAATCATGTTTTCTCATAGATTAAGTACTAGGTGATTTTCCCGTGCTCATGCACGGGTATGAATATTTATAAAAGTAAAATTTTATAATCACTGATTGATATTAGTTTTAGTTTTAGTTTTGAAGCAATTTATATGTATAATTTATATTAATAAATATTAAATTATTCTAATTATATATGACTTTGGATATATTATTATCGGTTTAATTATTTTTTTTTATCAATAGTCGGTTTGGTTATCAATTTGGTATATTGGATACTATATATTTTTCAAATTCAGCTATAATATTTTAATTCTAAATAGAATAAAACTTTGATTAATTTTCTTATTCTTATTTCGGTTGATTATTGTCTTTAGATATGTAAATATATTATAGTCAAATTATGTATAACTTAATATATATTGTGCTTAAAATGAAATAAATAATAAGCTAAAGTGTTTGATTCAAAATTACATAAATGAATATAATGATAATATTTTAAAGTCACATGCATATAAATTGATTAATATTTGTTTTTAATACACTTTGAGTCAATCTCTAATTTATATGTATAAAATTAAATATATTATTATTATAAAATTATAAGATGTTTAATTTTGGATATAAATTAGATCAGTCGAGTCATTCATTTTGTGAGTATATTGAGTTAAATATATTTTTAAATTAAAATTGAAGTATAATTACTTTTTTATTTTAGTCAAGTCATATCAAATTAGTTTTATTTATCGCTTAAATATACATGTATTTTCATAATATTTATTTACTCTTTATTTTAGCTAAGTCATATCAAATTAGTTTTATTTATTGCTTAAATATACATGTATTTTCATAATATTTATCAAATTATATGTTGATTTCTAAAAAATATTAGAAAATAAAGTGTANTATTTTAGTCAAGTCATATCAAATTAGTTTTATTTATCGCTTAAATATACATGTATTTTCATAATATTTATTTACTCTTTATTTTAGCTAAGTCATATCAAATTAGTTTTATTTATTGCTTAAATATACATGTATTTTCATAATATTTATCAAATTATATGTTGATTTCTAAAAAATATTAGAAAATAAAGTGTAACTGATAAATTTTTAGATGTTCATGAACATATATATTTTTATTATTTTAAAAATATATTTATGTTATTTAAAATATATATTAATGGGGGTATTACTATTTTGTGAACTTTCCATTTTAATAAAGTCCTATTATATACATATATTTTCGTTTTAAATTTTTGAAATAATTCATTTTTATTATATATGTTATTTGGAAAAAGGAAAAAAAAAGGAAAAAAAATGAAAAAAAACAATCTTAAAATCTAATAATTCATTAAGGGTATCTATGTAATCAACCATCGCGAGAGTGAACGTGAGCGCGACACGTAGGAAACTGACTTCTCAAATAATATTATAAAGATTAAATGGATTGAAAGATTAATATTTCAGCTTTCTTCCTCGTGAAACCTCTTTTAAACATAAGTATTGAAGGTTTTGCATTGTTAAATATTTGTAAAGTCTCCAAATTAAACTGAATTTGCGATGGCAAAACAATATTATTTTATATTTATTTCAAGTGTGAAAGTGTCGCATTGATATTTGACTATATCTCTAAGCGAATCGAAAGCCGCGTGATATCTTTTCCGTGCTTCAATTTTTTTTCTGTTATGTTTGGCCTTTTCCTGCTTTATTGCTCCTTTTGAACGAGTCCAATTCACAACAATTAATTCTCTTTTTACAAAAAAAAACAACAATTAACTCTCAAGTACACTGTAATAAATTATTTAGTTCTTGTAGAAATATGAATTAAATAATGCTGCCTAGATAATTTTTTCATAAGAACTCTCTCTTTTTCATAGTAAGTGTCATTTTGGAGAATCTTTTTTATTACAAAATAAATGTTGTTTTCAATTTTCAATACAAAATTTATTAAGTTTATTATGCATTCTATTTTTCTATTGGTTGATATATGATTAGGTGTATGGATAATTATGTTTTTATATGAAAAATATGTATAATTAATTGTTTGCTTAATCCGTGTGCAATCTAAAACGACACTTATAATGAAACATAGAGTATATTGCTAAGTTGATTGGAAATGAATGCGATATTAATGCCGTAAAGTGTATCAAAAAGGTTTTTTTAACAACTACGGATACTTTTTGTAGTATGAATTATTATGAAGCAGAAGCACATGTCAAATTGAGTAGGATTTTTTTTTGAGAAAAACATTGAGTCAGTATTTTTATGAGCTGATTCATCTTTGCTTAAAATGGATGATTTATAGTTATGTTTTGAATTCATTTGACAAATGATTTGATACTCAGCTCGTATGTGTTAAAACATATGTAAGCTGCCTCATAAGTCATAAACTAAAAAAAAACAATTCAATTATTTTTTAGATATGCAAATGCATCAGTTGATCATAGACTAACTAGCTGAATATAAGAAAATGAGATAGTATTGTCTATCGTCTATCCTCTAGAAGATCAGAAAATGAGATAGTATTGTCTATCGTCTATCGTCTAGAAGATCAGAACGATAACGATGATAAGTGACGCAAGGAGAGTGACGCCATTAACAGTCATTTCAAGTGTTAAAAGAGTAGAAATACCTTCCCTTTTAATCTTTATTCTTTTTTGTCTGGTTGATAAAAAACAAAATGGAGTAGCGAATATTCAAATAATAAATAATTGAAAGCGGAAATCCACGCGGAGAGAGGTTTGAAATGTCGTCGGTCCAATCTCTTGACTCATCCTGTCTCTTGGAAAACTTCTTTATATCCATCCTTCAGATCTTTTACTATTTTTATGTTGATGCCTGTTACGTTTTTCTTACGTTGACAACGTTTCTTCTTATAGTAAATCGATACTATTATTCTTATTTTACAGTGTCGATAAAAACTAATGTATTAAAGTTATTAGTTCAAATGAAAAGGACTATAACCATTGTGTAAGACATTCTCATTTCGAAATAACCGGCAGAACATAACTAAAATAAAATGATTGCGGTTTCCAACATGAAATGATTATAACATTAGTTCCGAATCTCATGATACTCAAAAAGGTTAATATTTGTGTTTCTATTAGTGAAACTGTAATACAATGTGTTTGGAAAAGAAGTAAATCAGATTTGAACTCCAATGCCAGCGTTAGCGACCCCTCGTCCTTTGAAGTCGCATAAATTACTTATATAGATTTTTACTAAAGAAATTACTTATATTTAAATGTTTTTTTAATCAAAACTTATATTTCTATGTTTATCTCAACATTTGAAGTAAGAAAACAAGTTCGTATCATGTCATCACTGTATATCCATTCAGATTAAATTGGTATGATATATGTTGGCTAACAAAAATATTATACACATATATAAGAATAGAATTACTTCCAACATATAAGTGGTCCAGATACATTGGGAAATATTTTGATGGCAAATAAAGTTAGAAAGTATCAATCAAAGAAATGAAGGTTCGAATGGAATATCAATCTGACTGTTTGAGATTGGACTTGGTCAGCAAAGACCTTATCGTACTCTTGTATTGTCACACATATAACAAATGCCAACATATAATCTAAAGCTTATCTCACGCTATATAGACAAAAGAAATTCCAAAAGCGGTATTGGCAATTGGCATAGCTCACCAATCTAAGTAAATGGAGGAGGAGAGTTAACACTTGATTACTCATTTCGTTTTAAATAAACTGTCATTTAATACTAACATTTTTGCTTTTTGAAAAAACGCTGTTCCATGATCTCAGTATTATCTCTCATTTAGTCCAAAAATATGATGTCCCATTTACACATAACTAAAATGAAAAAAATGTAAAATATAATAGGTTTTCAAGGTTCAACCTTGTTTTATAAAGCACATATTAGAATTATATTCATGTGAAAATATTTAAATCATAATCTGAAAGTTGAAAACAGAATTAGTATGAAACAAGCACTATTTTAATATTTTTATTTATTAAAGTTCTTTTTAAATCAAAAAAATTATATGCTTTGCAAAATTTATGCATACAACTATATTCACGAAGAAAACATATTTATAATTTTATTCATCATTATCGATAGGAATATACAAGAGAAAGTGTTAACAAATACTGTTCAATCAATTTCATCCACACCTTCTATTCATTTGCTATGATACTTTTACTGTTTTACCTAGTAGTGTAATTACATAGAATATGCACATTCTTTTATATGTTGACACTATTGACATCACATATGATGATAGTTAACAACGGTTGTTCGTTGTATATAATAATAAAGAATCAAACAAAAACATATATTGGAAACAAATAAATGAGAATCTCAATCACATGTACAAAGTCATAGTTTTGAAAGGGTACATTGAAAGCGACAGTTGTGTATCACCTTGTTGTCTAATTATTTAGTTAACCACTATATTTAAACAAAGGGTTTAGTTAATTATAAGTTTATAACTACATTAACAAAATTGCAAAGTTGAATTGGTCAGCCTTTGACCTAGTAATGTAACCTTATTCACTACCACCACCACCACCACCACTTAATGATATGATACACTTTGGCCCTATACTCCCTGCTTATACCGAAGACTTTTCTTCACTTTGAAAGTTTTGTCTCTTTTTCAAAAAAGAAATTTATATTACAAGATTAATTTATATATGGACTCCACCACTTGGTCAAATGTTCAAACATTCAAATCCAATGCCTTTATATGCCAAACCAACACTCATCAGTTTCTCCACAAACCTATAACACTTTCATTCTCTCAGCATATGATTCCTCCATCTATTCTTATCTCTTCTCATCATAAAATTCATATTATATAACTTATTATTTTAGAACCCAATTATAACTTACACACATTATATTTCTTTCTTTGAATAAAAATATTACTATTTTGGGAGACATATTTTCAAAATGGAAGGTCAAAAAGCTATGTTAGCTTGGGAGCAAAAGACACTGCAAAGGGAGCTCAGTCTTGGAATGGAGGCGGCGAAAAAGCTTCAGGCACGACTTAGTGAAGCATCGTCGCCGTCGTCATCATCTTCTTATCCGGTGGCTGAGACCAACGAGACTCTCATGGAGCAGATACTCTCTTCATACGACAAAGTTCTCGTCATGCTAAACTGGTCTACCTCGCCGCCCGTACCAATTATTCCGGCAACTGTTGCGGTAGTTCCGGTGGTGAACTCCGGCGGAATTCCTGAATCTCCGGCGTCGATTAACGGGAGTCCTAGAAGTGAAGATGGAGGACGTTCCAGCGAGAGTCATCGTCAAGATCACATTTTCAACTCCAAGAAAAGGTAAATTGAGGATTACCAAAATTTAAAAATTACAATTCACCAAATTAAATGATATATTTATATTAATTAATCTAGAAATTTGGGGAAATTATTACAGGAAGATGTTACCAAAGTGGACAGAGAAAGTGAGAATAAGCCCAGAGAGAGGCTTAGAAGGGCCTCAAGATGATGTCTATAGCTGGAGAAAGTATGGTCAAAAAGACATTCTGGGAGCCAAGTTCCCAAGGTAACATCATCATCAATCATCATTAAACACATCAATTCATAATCATCATGATGTTAATATGATTGATTTGATTTGATGTGCAGGAGTTACTACAGATGCACACACCGTAGCACACAGAACTGTTGGGCAACAAAACAAGTCCAGAGATCGGACAGTGATCCAACGGTTTTCGAATTAACATACAGAGGGACACACACTTGTCAGCAGGGCACACCTCCTCCTCATCCTCCACAAGCCTCGCCGGAGAAGCGAAACACCAGACCTAAACTCGCCGACGTTACTCAAAAGCCTAATGACCTTCTCGAGAGTCTTAAAACTAGCTTAACGGTTCGAACCGAAGGACTCGACGACGCTGACAACGTCTTCTCCTTCCCTAATACGCCGCCGTTTTATGATTACGGGACCATCAACGACGAGTTCAGTTCTCCCATCTTCGATGTTGCTGATTGGCTCAATCCAACGGTCGAGATTAACACGGCGTTTCCCACGTTTTTACAAGAGTCGAGCTATTATTAAAATTGAAATGTAATAGAGAATAAAAAACCTAGTAATCATTTTTATAGAAATCACTGAGTTAAGATAACTTGAGAGTCTAACAAAAGCATAAGACACATGTTCAACAGAACTTGAACATTATTTCAATTTCAAAGAGTTTTTTTTTCCCCTTCCTAGCTACTACTGGTCGTAGCCGCTGCTGCATTGTTCTTGTTGTAATCTTCCAGCTCCTTCTTGTATGCTTCCATCAGCTTTGCTGCTTTGTTGTTGTAACTTTGCTTCTCTTCTTCACCCAATTCCTGCAATATATTTTTTAACTCAAACGAATTAGCAAACAATAAATTTGTATAGCAAATGATATTTTTTACTCGTAGTAATTTTACATACCTTCCATTTGACAGAGATTAGAGCAGTAATTGTCGAGTTGCTTGTCCCGGGACGTTCTTCTGCCAAAGTCTTCCTTGCGTCTTTGCTGTATAAACAAGTTTTAATCTACCAGTTAACGACTCCGACATGTAAAAGCTTAGAGTTTAGTAAGTCATTAGCTTTTGGGGTTTGTACCTGAAGAGAAAGAATGATGAAGCAGGCTTCTTGGGTTTGTTAGGGTCAACGTTTTCATTCTTCTTCTTCTTAGTCTCTTTCTCCTTCTGCAATACACATCGTCATGGTCATGTTAGTCTCTGAATTGTAAAATTCATTTTGATGATACAAGAAGGGAAAAGTGTGAGTGAGTGAGTCAACCTTGATCAGATTGTCTGTTTTCTCTTTCTTCTTAAGCAGTTGGAGAGCTTCCTGTTTATGGAGTTTCAAGAGCTCTTCCTCTTCTTTTTTCTGGCTCATGGCTTCTTCTTCTTTTGTCCTCTTGTACTCCTCCATTGCTTCCAGGTATGCCTCCTTGTTCTTCTTTGCCACCTGTTCAATATCACACACCTCACATTCATTCACTCTCAAGTCTTTATATACCTGTTAATGAAAAATTATGTATAGGAAAAAACAGACCTCTTCGTAAGGTGCTTTTTGTTTATCTGACATCTTCTTCCACTCTTCTCCAGTCATCTTTGCGACCTATGATAAAAGACTTATCGTTATGTTAAAACATTTTTAAAATAATGGATCTGGAAAGTGACTAAAAGTACTTAAGATATACCTCCACAACGTTCTTGTTCTCTTCACGTAAAGCAGCTCTCCTCTCGTTAGCATAAACCAGGAAGGCAGATACGGGATGCTTTGGCTTCAAAGGATCCTTCTGCTTCCTGCAAACCAAACAACAGCTCTAGATCAGTTTCACCATTAATAATCACTTCATATATTCATCTGGTTTCTTACTTGCTCTTCTTCTTGTTATCTTGTTCACCATCCTGCACAAACTGGAGATACTGATCAAGCAAATCCATTGCAGTCTTCTGCTTCTGCTCATCATCCAAAAGCTTCATTGCCTCTCTCTCCCTCTTCTCCTTAGCAACCACCTGGAGGTAAGCTTCCTTCTCCACCTGATACCTCTCCTCGTAAGGCTTCTTCTCTTCCGCACTAAGAGACTTCCATTTAGCACCAAGAATGTTGGAAGTCTCCTTGAAGTCAGCTTCAGGATTCTGCCTCTTGATTTCACTCCACTGTTCCTTTAACCACAGAATGTATGATGACGATGGTCGCTTCCTCTCGGGACAATCCTTCTTCTTCTTCTTGTTCACCTTCTCTTGCTCAGCTTGTGTGAGAGATTGACCACAAGCGAACGTCTATAAAAGCAACACAGAACAATCTTGAAATCAATATCAATCTCAGATCTCAAAATGTTCAATCGTATCTGCAGATTCAAAACCTAATCAAGCTCTAATCTAATCACCAAAACCTAATCAAGCTCTAATCTAATCACCAAAACCTAATCAAAAAGCTAGATCTAGATCTAGAGATCGTTATATACCATATTAGGTTTAAACTCCTTCATCTTCTGAAGCTTCTTAAGCTCCGTCTTAAGCTTCTCCTGCTCAGCGTCTCTCGTCTCTATCTCCTCCTCCTTCTTCCTCAGAATCTCGTCCTTCTCCTTAAGCAGCTCCTCCGTCTTATCCTTCTCGATCTTCATCTTCTCCAACATCATCTGCATCTCCAACAGATCTTTCTCGAACGACTTCGCTGATTTCGCCTTGGCGGAGACTGGGGACGGCAGAGAAGTCTCCGTCACGATCTCGTTCTTCTGCTTCAACGCCTTACGGCTGTTCCTCGATTTCTTCGTCGGAGCCGGATCTGCGGTGGTGGCCATGTTTAAAGTCGGAGCGTACAAGGGAGAAGGAGGTTTTGAGGTTTAGAGATTTGTGATTTGGGTGAGAGGCTCTGTAGATATTTGTGGGGTTTATATTGATGAAAACGCGTAACGGTCTTTATTTTGAAATTCAAATTAAAGGTTTTGGCTCCCGATGCCTCCATTTATTAAATCTTTTTTTTTGAATTTTTGCTCTTCTTTATAGGGAATTAAATCTTTTGGATTTCGATATTAGCAAATATTAACGCAGACCGAATTTGTTTTGATATGATTCTTAATTTAAAACCATACTACTTATTTTCAGTTTATTTTTAGATTCTGATTTCTACTTGTGAAAATCACATAATTAGTAAAGTAAATTATTAATTAGAAGTTTGAACACTCTGCAAATGTATTATTTCACCAAAATTCTATTAAAAAGGAGATAAAGTAGAAGAAAATAGGAGAAAGTTCGTCTCTTTTTTTTTGAGATACTCAAAACAAATAATGAAAAACCTTCATACTTATTTGTTATGGTGTAATTGGTCTTACTTTTTTCATTTAATAACTTTAATTTTAATTAGTTGAGAGATTTTTTGGGAAGACTCAACCAACAACAATTATATTAGTGATAACGCAATAAACAAATAGAATTTTTAAATTATGTAAAGCTGAAAGAGACAACAAGTGTAAATTACATGGAAGCAGTAGAAAAGGATGCAAATACAAAACGTTTAGCATATTTGTTAGGCTTGGGCCGCTTGTCCTTGGGCTAGAGACCCATAATGATTGGGAGGTGGGAGAATGGAGTGATGGACTTTTTTTTTTTCTTGGCATCACAGGAGTGAATCAAAGACTTACTTTGGTGGCTATTATTTTCGAATGTATAATATACACTTAGCCAGAATACACTCGTTTCGCATATCCCGTTCTCTAATTTCTTAGGGATCTTTCTTTTCCGTTTCTTAGGGCATTTTCATTTCGGTTTCTTCTTTGCATAAGAAGCTAGAAAGGTGGAAAAGGATATCAAAGACTCGACATCAAAGTCTTGACACAAAGACTTGACGTATGTTGTTAGGGTGAGTATTTTTCTTTGATATGTTTTATGTTGTCCGTAATAGTGGTGGTATCCCGCTGGTCACTGGAAATAAAATTTTAATATTTGGGTTTTTCCAGCATCTGGTGACTGATGCATAATCCGACCGATAATGTAAGCGGTTTTAGCATTCGTCACTGATTTCGATCCACTTTGGTGAAAACCAAGATACACCGGATTATTCAAAAAAGAAAAATAGTGGTGCTAAGCTTAAGTGAAACATGTTCTCTGGATATATATGCAAGTGTGATTGAGATAAGTAGTGACGATGAAGGAAACCAAAGATAAAGCAGTGGTGGAACATCGAAAATTTGTAAATTTATCGTTCAATTAGATATATGAGTCTATGACTATGAATCTTCCAAGTATTGTTATTGTTTTTTGGCTCCAAGTTGGGATGTTAAGAGATGAAAGTTTTTAAGCTGTAATTTATTGTGTTCTTTAAGCTGTAACTTTATTGTAGGAAATAGTAACGGTATGGACTATTGGCAAACAGTCAAACTAGATTGTTGCATTATGTTGAGGGAATTGAGACGAGAAAAGTGAGTTGACATAACTAAAAAATTAGTTGGAAGTTTGAAAAAGAAAATTAAAAGGAAGAACCAGAGCAAACATGTTAAGTGCATGGGAATAGCACGAGAACGGTACGTGAAATATGAAATTTAAAGACATCATTTAATTTCGTTGTTGGTCCTTCATTTAATGTTATTTATTAATGTGTCTCTGCCACTTTTCATGAAACCATGTCTCACGCACCTTCTATTCCACATGTCTCTTCTTACTATGCATTCTAGAATGTTAATCTATGCATCTAACTTGTACCGTTCATATGCCAATGTAGACCGTGTTTATTTAAAACATACACATATCTGTCATAAGTTTTGATTATATAATATATGAATGTCGGTGGACCAAAGCTAATATACTAGTTTTACTATCAAACTAATCGCACGTACATACCATGATCTCTTCCTTGTTTGATTTCGTACCAATACGAATACGATCACTATCTCAGACTTCTGTTATAGAATTGTAAAACTGTGAAAATGGAAGTGAAATAAAATAGTGACGATGAAAGTCAAATTAAATACGGAAAATACGGGAAAATGTTCTATATATATACGGGAAAGTCAACTGAGATTCACCAGGAACAAGTCAAAATAACGTTGACAGTTCGTGAATGTTAGTGACCAAGACAGTCCTGGACCGGCACATATAAAAGAATCCTGGTTGAATCCGGTTCACCAAACTGCGCACATTTGACGTTGGTTTGGTCATTAATCTCCGAATCTTGGTATACAGCTGACACTTGGATCAACTTCAACTATCCCAAAACTTATCCACAGACCCAACATGTTTCGCGCCACAAATGGACGGTCCAGATTCGATGGACCACGAGATTTGAAGCCGTACATTTTCATATCTAAGACGCGACATCATAGTGGGTCCCATACATGGTCGTTAGTTCTAAATAGGAGACCGTTGGATCATATCACGACGTGAACGGCGAGGATTGCTTTCCAAGAATTTTTTTTTACCTTTACTTTTTGTATAAATGACCAATATTGATAAGTTTTGAATGCATCATCATCATAAAGCTTTATCATGACATTTCTTTAGTTAGTATAATTAGAAAATCTCAAAGAAGATCTCATGAAAGGTCCCCCATTCATCTTTTGGAATAAATCTTACAAGAGCTCTGGAATTTTGTGACAAACCAAATATTTGCATGAGGGGACACCACACACGTATACAAAAAAAAATTCATGTGTTATATAACTTATAATGTGTGATTATATATCCTGGGCCACGACTGTCTTCAAGTCTTTACGAAATTAGGAAGGGGCACTGGGAACTGGGAAGTCATGTGATTTTACTATTTTTATCTTTCAAAATAACGAAATATATATGTATGCAACAACTTCTTAATAGTAAATATGCGGCATAGTATTTGAATCCATAGTACAAGAGTGCATTGTCTATTGACAAACTTTTTTAAGCTTGATTAGTTTTTTTTTTTTACCTTGATTAGTTATTGTATAAACTATAATATATATTTGTGTAATCTAACAATTAAATAATTTGTGTAAGTTTTCTCTGTCTTGATCACCCTTGGAATACGCTATATATGTAGCTATAGAATAAAAATGTGACCATTGATGAGTTGCATTGGTATGCATGAAAAGTCACGTAATTCACATGAACATTTTGGGAAGAGGGGCCTAGCTATTGAATACTTGATAACTTTTCGTATCTACAGATACAATAGTAGGTACATTCTAAATTCTCTAATAACCCGTACATCTTTGAATTGTGTATGTAATAAATATGTGAAGTTTTTCGGTTCCCTTTCCCCTCTTATAAAATACTTGAATAAAGTATTATATTACACTCGAAAATCAGCAACTTGCATGGTTATTTCTCAGATTGTCGGAAATATTTAATTTCTTATAATGTTGTGTTCATATTTTATATACAAAATAGTGTCTGAGAAGTGTAGCCTCTGAACCACTCCAACAGGCAGAAGAAAAAGGATAATTAGCGAAAGCGACACGACTTTCCTCTTTCTCGAGTAGTTGCGGCTCTAGAGCCTACGTGCCAGTTCTTTTTCCTGCACTTCTGTATTTACATTCTTTTTCTTATTTTTCAGATTGTATTTTAAATTTTATTTATCAATTACATAGGGTGTTGCTAATTTGTGTTTCATCAGAAATGTCGTTTCAAGTTGTTTACATAGCATTTTAATGTACTTATACAGATAACAGGTTTTTATAGGTCCCAATCATTTCATAAAAGAAATTTCTGAATGGGCAGGACCAACATTCGTCTACGTACAACACCCGATTATTGATTCCTAGGAAATTTAGGACCATGAGATGATGACATCAATCCAATGAATGATCCATTGGAATTACATATATTGAGTACCTAAAAATGTAATAAAAACAGCAACAAACAGGTTAGACAAGCTAATCAGCAATGCATCGAACAAAGTAATTCGTAATTAATCAAACGTCGACAACTCTTCAAGAATTACGCCAAGAGAATATCCTGATTCTACAAGCTTCATCAACCTTTATGTAAGATTATATGGTGGACCAATCGTAGCTACTGGTGGTACCTGTTGCGGACCGAAACCAGACTTCTTAAACTCATTGGTTAACTTGGAATGGTTGATCAACTCAAGACCAAGGTAATAGAGCATCCTAATTTCTCAAGATAATAGTGTTACATACAAATATACAATACATGAACAACAAACTATTTATAAATGAGATAAGGAGATGGAAAGTTAAAGAGACAAATGATGTGAAAAAAAGAAGACAAGTTTGAGAGGCTAACTCTCAACCATATTTTGGACAAGGGAAGTTTTAAAGTTTTGATCCTTTTGAAACGTACATGTTTGCGTTTGCATTTAGGTTTATATGAAAATTAGTTATTATCTTCCAAAAGTCGAAAGGTATTTTAAACTCAGATCAGGTGGTGTGATAGTCAATCTACTCTATAACACTAAATGTATTATCAATATTTTGATTGTATTTTATAAAACAACAATATATTTATTTGGTTTTTACTTGCATAACAATACAACCGTATGCAGATGAAAATGTGTTAAAAGAGTGCGACTGAAGCGTTCTAGACAATCAACTACCCCCAACTGTTTTATACTTTTATATCATTCAAACCTCATGTGTTTCTAAGATTTTGATTTTGTGTTCTTGTGAATAAACTGCCAAAACACAGCTTCTATGATGTGCCACATCTCAAAATCAACTTAGATTCTGTCTTCCCACTGTATCTAGTCTCAATCTACCTGGCATTTCATATTTTGACTATAAATCCGTTTATAGTAGTATTAGCTTGTAACCGTGTGTAATAATTAAAATCATTAGCCTTTTATGATTAAAATTAGCCTTAAGCAAACAGAATTTTAACAAAGCTTTTCAATTGTTCCCATCACGTGAGATAACACGTGCTTCACCAACAACAGCAGCAAAAAAAGCGAGAAAACAAATTAAAATCTAAAAAGCAAAAATGAAGGAATTTTCAGTCGACCAAAATATAGAAAGGTGATAAAGAGAGCCAGAGAGCACGTGGAGGAAAGAAACTCGACACCAATACCGTTAACAAACGAACTTATTTTAACTTAAACGTCAATAATAACACCATTAACCCATTAACTACAACATTAGTACACTTGATTTATACTATATAACGACAAAGATAAAAAGATATTGCTTAAAAAGACTCTTAAATAACGAACATACAAAACTTCGCGAGTCCGTTTAGTAACGGCCGGGTAAAAGACTTTTTTGATTCTTATCAAACAGTCAAAGGAGGATCCGACCCGAATATATCCCCGATATCTTGAAAATGGTCATCCACGTGCCAGTCAGATAACCCGGCTCCGAAATCAAACCCGAAATTCATATCCGTACACGTGTCCGCGAAGATATCTTCTCCAAACAAGTCGCCGCCGAGATACTCGGGAATCCGGAAATCGAAAAGATCCTCGTCGGTGAACAACGGCGCCGAGAAATCGGAGAAACTCTCCGATACCGTCGTCGTCGACGGCTCTTCCTTGACGATAACCTTCGCTGCTGAGGACACACCGCCGGGGAGTTCGTCGACGGCGAACGGTGATCGGAGAACAGACACCGGAGAGCAGAGGCAGTCGCTGTTGTTACTCGTGGTGGAGGAAGAAGCGACGTCGGATTTGATTTTTTTATTTCTTTTAACCGGAGACGGCGGTGGAGATTCGTTCTCCGTCGTCGGGAAGTTAGTTAGAGCGTCGGGACCACGGAGCTGAATCGCGGCGCTGTCGTAGACCAAGGCGGCTTCCTCCGCCGTGTTGAAAGTTCCGAGCCAGAGACGTACGCGGCGGAGAGGATCTCTTATCTCCGCCGCCCATTTTCCCCATGGACGTTGTCTTACTCCTCGGTATTTCTTCTCCGTTGTTGTTGTAACAGCCGGAGGAGAAGGAGGTTCCGGTTTGACTGTAACCGCTCTCTTCCTTCTCTTATTCGGTTCGGTTTGGCTATTACTGCTGCTACCGCTAGCGCCAGAATCGATAACGACTTCGTTAACGAACTTCTTGATACGACGGCGTTTGGATACGAGTCGTTGTTGTGTTTCATCTTCTTCGTCGCTGGACGAGTCTGTTGCGTCTGGGTCGGTTACGGAGATACGGAGAATCCTTGGTTGGTTGTGGTTGTGGTGGTGGTTGGTTAAACCCGGTTCGGTTCTTGTGGTGTTGGTTTTCGGTAGAACAAGTTGTTGCTTCTCTGTCTCCATTGTTATTTCTCTTTCTCTCTCTCTGTTACTTAGACTGTGACTGGGTGTGTTTTATATCGGAGAAAGCATGTGAAAGCAAAAAGGAAAGAGACAAAGAATAAAGATGGATTTTTTCGAAAAAAAGGAAGAAACTTGAATAACAAGAGAAATAAGAGAGTGTGATGCTTCTCTGCAAAAAGTTTTATCAAAGGACGAGTTTTTTTTTTTCTTCTTTTTATAGAAAGCTACAAAGCAAAGGCACAGAAAACTGCGAGAGATAAAACCTTGTTAATACAAACAGAGAGAGGGGGGAGTAGGGAGGAGGGAAGAAAGCAAAGATTTTCTTGGAAAGTTGAAGAAAGGAGAAAGGAAATTAAAAAGAGCTTTTTGTTATATTCTTGTGGAATCGACACAAACCCACCGTTTGGTTATCGAGAGAGATGAGAGAAAAAGTAAAGAGGAAGGAAGATGCTCCTTTTCTAGGAAATATTCTTGGAAATTTTTAGTGTGCAGAGAGGAAAGAAAATGTTTTTTGCAGAGTGTTTAGAAAGAGTGACACGAGGAAGAAGATGGGAGATTTAAAAGCGGCAGAGCACATGTAAGTAGTAGTAGATAGAGAAAGAGACTATTTTATAGGATCTTGAAACGGCTGATATTTAGTGTTTACTCCGGTTCTTCTTCTCTTTTTTTTTAATTTATTTATTAGTATTTAAAATTTTTGAATTTTAAACAAAGTTTCTCCAAATCGCACAAAAAGTTGTTTATAGAAACTAATTGGATTTTTAAGGGGGGTCATACACAATGCAAAAGGAAGAATGAATTCCTTAGCTATATATAGAAATCAGCCTTAAATTTATGCTCTATGATTTCGAACTATTGGGTCAAATGGCAATGTCAAATGAATAAAAGACATATGTCCAAACTATACTTGATAAATAAAACGTACATATAACTGAAAATAGAAAAAGTATAGAAGTTGACATGTGTCGACAATACCAAATTTACACTTTGTAACGCATATACAATCATGACATTTTACAAAGTAGTAAAAAAAGATATTTACATTCAGGTAAGATTTTACAAAAACGCTTACGCATTTGGTAAAAAAATAATGTAGTTTGACTCAGGTGAGATATTTATGTTTTTAATTTAGTAACCCATTAATTTCATTTTGAATATCTTAACCGACAAATTACAAAACATTTTGGAATTATTTTTGAAATAAAACAAGTATTTTACATCAGTATCGGAGCTAAGCTGCTAAAGATAATCTACAATTTGATTTAAACAAATTTGACAATTATCTCCGGCGAAAAGAGGGCGACAGTACTAGCACAAGTCAAATGAGTAAGATATCGACACGTGTTTCTATAAAATCGGGTCCAATCCAACGGCTGGGACGTGCTTTGGCAGCTGACAAAGAGCAAAAAACATGTCACAGTATTATCTTGATAAAATAATTATCGTAATTATATAAATTGATCTCGTAATTAGAGATTCAGGTCACGTGATACCGGAGACACGGCCAGTCCTACTTTTGACCAGAACACTTTAATTATAATTAATGGCAGGTGGTTAAGTCTTTAATCTAAAACCTCCGTACGAAGCTCTCTTCCAGTATTTACCACAGGGTTATTTTGGTCATTATCACCACGCAAGTTGTAAAAATCAAAAGGCCGTTACGGCCAATTCTTTACTGTTTTAACGCTTACCAGTCTCTGTTATTACAGCTGGTGGCTAACGTGACAGACAACAACCTAGGACGTTGCGCCAAAGAAAAATGCACAGTAATTTTTGGAATCATTGTACTAGTTTTTACGAATAATACATGATACTTAACAGTTTTACCTAAACTAGTGAACAGTGATGTTTTCAATCGTATTTTTATTATTATCTTCTAATTATATAATGTCTGTATAACAATATATTGACGTGTGAAAGATACTGGAAGCCCATGCTATATTGCCAAAGAAAGCAGCAAGTTTTCATTGCAGGGTATGTGAACCATGAACCAGTTTGGTGGTCTTGTCTTTCCCTTTACTTATTTTATTTGCCTCTGTTATGCTATACAGTTTTTGTCCAACATCTGTGATATACGATAACGTTACAATACATTATGATATATTACCGTATAGACATAAACATATACTTTAATTATTTTGCTTTTTGAATGATTTTGTATGTAGTTTCAAATATGTACAGATTTTAAACGTCATTCATATATAGTACAACTTTTACTCTAATATTTTACTCTAGAAATGTCATCCAATCAGACTCTATATAGTCTAGATGAACAAATTATCTCGAAGACATGAAGGGTAAATAAAAGAAAAAGCAGTTTGTACAGGTGATTAGGAGAGGCAAAGACAATAAATTCTCATTTATCGACAAATCAAAATTCGTTTCTGGTAGTATATTAATTCTAAGACGATGAAACTGAGCTGGTCCACAAATTCTTAATCATTGCACAATCATAAGTATTTGTGTCAACGATAACTTCATAGAAGTTCGATCTCACAATGTACAATGTACACATTTTACGTGAAATCTAAAGTGTTTGTTTTTTTTTTACTTGACAAGCAAAAACACATTGGGAGACCACTTTTTATATAATACTACTATAACTTTCCTTAGTTTAATTTTTGACGATTTGCTGATTTTTACTGAATCCAAAATCAATACAAAAATTATAAATATAAGTGGTAGTATTAAGTAGGGAGCACAACTGCAAAATAAACGAATGGTTATGTAAGGATAAACTTATTATAAAAAGAAACAACTCAAGTTTAAAATAAACTGAATAGTATACTATTTATTACGAAAGAGATGAAGTGTGTTAGATTATCTCTACTAATGTCAGGTAACTTTATGATGATTTAAAAATAATAATGCACAGCTTTATTTTCTAGCTTGCCCTCGTGTTTGGTCAGAATCTAGTCGGAATAATTGAACATAACCAGATGATCTAACGGGTTCGATAAATATGTCACACATATTTTTCTCTATCAAAAAAGGAATAGTTATTCTGGTTTTACCGACTATCAATATGCTTATTTTCTCTGTTAGCAGCATAAAACGTGTATTACATGAAATGGATGATGTTGTCGGAGTTGAGTTATGGCCTAAAAATCTCTCACCGAATAAGAAGGAAAGTTCAATTCGGAAGCTAAGAAAACATAGACCGTACGCATAATATATATGTCCAAGAATACAAGAACACTCGTTGGACCGAAGAAGGCATACTCAGCCCCCATTGCGGGACCCACTTTTTCATCTACTCACCCTCTCCGTTAGTCCGCTAACGGCGCCGGTTCTCTCTTTTCGAGGGCTTTTCTTCTATTCGGTCCACTTGGTCACTTCCTCCCGTCATGTGACGGCTGACGTCCTCTTCGCAGACTCCTTTTTGTTTTTATTTTTCTCTTTAGTTTTTGTTTGTTTTAAAGGACCCTCAAATTAAAACCCATGAACTTTAGCACAAGAAAAAAATGGGAAAATTAAAATAAGAAACGTATAATCTTTTTTCAGAAAAGAATAAGTCAATTTTTGGGAAGAGAAAATTAGGTGATTAAGGCAAAATAAACATTATTAGCCGGGTGGTTTGTGAGTTGTGGTGAAAAATATGATACTTTCCATTTTTATTTTTGAAATGAGTTTTGTCTAACTGTAAATAGTGTCAGAAGAAGAACATAATGAGATTGTTTCTCCACAGATTAGAACATCTCCAAAAAGACTCTCTATTTTAGAGTTTGTAAAACTCTATATTTGAAGTTTAGAGGTGTCGTGCTCCAAAAACAAAACTTCAAACTCAACTTCAAAACTATTTATATTTTATACTATGGTCCTTATATTTATTATAACTAATCAAAATACATAGAATTTTGATAAATAACTAGTACATATATAAAATATTACAATAATATTAATTGATAAAATGTTACACTAAAATAACAAATTATAAACAAAATATATAATTAAATATTAAATTATGAACAAAATACTACATTAAATCTGGTAATATTGTTGTTGTCTAATTCTAGTTTTAAAATATTTGAAATCTTATCTTGATATTTTTAAAAAAATTAATTATGTCTAAAATTTAAATTTATTTAAACAATTTTAAAATATTTATGAGATAAAAAATTTAAAGATTAAAATGATAAACAACAAAATATTTAAGAGTTATAAATATGATATGTAATTGTAAGGACCAAAATGCAAATAAAAGTATGAAACTTCAAATTTGAAGTTTTAGAGTTTCTTTTTGGACAGTCAAAAACTTCATATTTGAAGTTATAGAGTGTCTTTTGGAGATGCTCTTAGTTAAGCGTATGTATTATTGATATGGATTTTTGAAAAATTAAAGGTTTCAATAATGATCCAGTTATTCTGCAATAAGGTACCTTCTGTACCTCTGGAAAGGTTTCAATAATGACGCTGGTGATGAACACATTAAGTTAGTTCATAATCATATGTTTGTTGTTTAATGAGTTAGGTTATGGCAAAATACATATATAAAGATTAGAAAGATAAGTTGATGTAATTTTCGTATATAAAATATATACGATTTTAGGCTGATTAGAGTGGACTATCAATACATGTCTATGAGAGTGTGTCGATCATATAGAGGCCAAAGATGATATTATATCTGTTACTAAATGTTTTTTTTTGGGTGAAATCTTGTTACTATATGTTTATATAAGTTAAGATATACAGTATTGTTCATCATAGATATCTTGCAAAATAATAACGAATCATATTGCACCATGGATATCAAGTCAAAATGAGATACCGCGATGATATCATGTCATCTCCTCCAAATTCACACACTTAGGGGTAACGCATTTCGATCCTAATCAAGTCTCATGAAGACGTAGAATTCTATGGACGTTATTAACTTATACTGATCTGATTAAATGTTCAAAAGGGAAACTTATACTGATCTTCAATTTGAATTTAAATAGAAATTAAGAGACATAACTTCTACAATTTTGTTTTGGTCCAGAGACATAAGTTACTTCAATTGCAAATAGTTTAAGTGAAGTGGAGGTGGGGTGGGCGGTGAGCTAGCAAGTGTGTGTCACACTTTGTCATGTAGCGAAGACAAATCTCAATAAGTATTACCTTGTTCAGTTAAATAAGTTACTACTAATTAAGGCTAATTAGAGAACCCTCAAATTATGGCCGAGTCATGAATTCCTTTCCAACACTTTCTCACGACCCTATTGCCGGCCAGTTATATATTGTACATCGAGCCCTTTTTATTTGTTAAATACAACCCTGTTGGGTTTGCAAGTGCATTGCACTATATAAATGAGATTAACTAATATCACTACTAGGTTAAACAATGTTTAAAAACCGTACTTGTCGCGAAAGTGTTGTCCACAATCAAGTTTTTCGTATATAAAAAATCTTTGAACCTCACTGCTATGACTGACTATATTAATAGATGAAGACATGGGTCGTAATGGTTCATACAAATAAGTGTAAACTTTATGTACATGAGTTTTATGTCATTGTTTAATTTTGTGGAAAAATTTAGACAGACTACACATTCCCAGGAGATAGTAATGTATTAATTTTGTTATTATTTCCTTATATTCGGTGTCATTAATGCAGAGTTGAACCATAACGGTTTGGTTTCGTTTAAAATTCTTTATATACTGCATGAGAGATAATTCATTAATTAGGTGTTTTTATGAACTATGTACACTGATATATTTTCTAAATTTAAATTCCATTTAAAATATATATCTGTTAATAATTTAGATTTAATATTCTATCAAAATATTTTAATACTAATTAAATATATTACTAATTAAAATTATAAGCATATATTGTTATTTGTGTTTTCATTTTGAAAATTTTTAATCTTACAATTATTCAAATATTATTTTTTCAATTATAAAAAATTATGAATTTTAATTAATTAATATTTATTTATTTCTTTTCTGTTTTTGAATTTTTAAATATTTTGTTAAAGATAGCTTTCAGATAACAATACAATATATATATGAATTATCTGTTTAAAATAAAATATATTTTTGGATTTGGATAACTCTTATTGTTATTGTTTAAAATAACTTATCTAATAAAATAAATTTAAATTCGTTTTTATATATAATTAATTTATATAATTTATTTATTAATGGTATAAACGATACTAACCGCGTTAACTTTTAACGTGGGAGCCCCGTTACGAAAAATCATTTTTCTTAAGATTTTTATAATTATTTGTTAGTAAATATATTACTTATTAAAAATTATTCAATATTATTTTTTCAATGATATAAAATTAAGAATTTTAATTAATTAATATTTGATTATTCTTTTCTGTTTTTGAATTTTTTTTGTTTTCTGTTTTTGAATTTTTAAATATTTTATGAAAAGATAGTTTCAGATAACAATACAATATATATAGGAATTATCTTTTTAAAATAAAATATATTTTTGATTTTGGATAACTCTTATTGTTATTGATTAAAATAAATTATCTAATAAAATAAATTAAAATTCGTTTTTATATATTATTAATTTATATAATTTATTCATTAAGGGTATAATCGATATTAACCACTCTAACTTTTAACGTGAGAGCTCCATCGCGAAAAATCACTTCGCAAATAATAGTATAGATAAATTTTAATGTAGTTAAATATAAATTTAAGATAAAACAAAAAATGATTGATTTTGTATTATATCTAAGAATATACATTTGCATAATCTTAGATAAATTTTCATTTATCTTTTTTGGTTAAGATATATTAAGTCAACTTGTATATATATATATATATATTGACAAAAACTTGTTTATTTTTAACTAATATATGATTTTTATAGTTATAAAAAACACTAACTATAATTTCTAAAAATTGTATATATCAAAAGAAACAAATGATATTATGATTAAAAATTATAATTTTTAAAAAGATGTATAATTTTTTGTTTACTAACAAAATATGTATGATTTTAAAATTAGACTTAAAAATATTTCAAAATTTTTAAAATATTTTTATTTGATATAATTTCATACTGCAATATATATATACTTTAATGATAATGTATGAATTATTACCATATTCTAATTTTTTTTCACCAATAGGTTGTATGATATTTGTTGCACTAAAAACTATTTTCTAGGATTTCTCACTAAAATGTGAATATAACTACATTGTGTTGCAATATGCATATTTATTCATGTGGAACTATTTAGCCACAAAGAATATTAATACTAGGAAGACAAAAAATAACTGAGTTGAAAAAAACCGCTAGGCATCAGAGAATTTGTAAAAAATCAGATCATGAATACATGTATGTTGTCAAAAAAATTAATGAAAACTATTCTTAAAGTCATAACATAGTAATTGGGGTCGCGAGAATGGAAAATTTATAAACTATGTTATGACTTTTACCAGCTAAAGTCACTTTGCTAAGGATTTGTTTCATGCAATTAAACCAACTTTTGATGTTAAGGAGCTTTGTGAACTTATGATAACTTAATGACAATTAGTTATATGTGAGCTTTGTGAACTTATGATAACATAGGTCCTTTGCTGCCGGGTACCTATGTTGCTTCAAATCATTACAAAAAATCGAACCATATACTCACAAAGCGTCCAAGCATTTATAATACCTAAAACATAAAAAGAAAACTCCGAAAAGCCTAGAAAACTACTAAAATCAGGAGTATAGATCTGTAGTAAAAACAAGGATATAACAGTATGCCTAACATAGAAAATATATTTAGATGTCCCAAGATGTTTTTGGAACCAAGTAATGTGTGAGATTCATCCTCGAAAAAAGTCATTTGTAAAATGATAATTTTGAAAACGAGAGGTATACTTTATAACATTCTAATTTCTTCTTAAAATATATTTTTTCGTGAAGGAGAGAAGAAGAAAGAACTAAAGTGAAGGTGTACAATGTATAGTTTTTCTTTTCTTTTCGGGTACAATGTATAGTTCATTAGTTTGACTCCTTGTTTTAAGGGACTACGGGCAGCTAAATCAAAATTTAAGATTGGCTACATTAAAAAGGCTACATTAGTAGGGGGAAAAATCAAAGAAATTTGAGAGTTACAAAACTCATAGCATAGGGAAGCTAGACTAAAATGCTTTTCAGTTTTACCAGGAAACCTGGAACCATTGGTCTATCTATAATCGAATTGTTTTGGACCAGGCATGAAATTGAACTTTTACTATCACTAGATTCTAATTACATTCAATAAATGAAAGTTGTTTATTTGTTTCTAGCAGAAATTTAAATATAAAAACTCCATTTTTGTAACTTGTCGACATAACACCAAAAAGAGGTTTGACTCTGACTTGAGAAAAGGCTAAGTGTAACATATGGAGTAAATGGATGTTGACTGTGATGTCTATTTTCATGATATTTTCTCAGACAAATGAATGTTTTTTTAGAAAAATCTTAACGAAAGGAAAATAACGTAAGTAGACAGTTAGGATGTTCACATATAGGTTGATAATAGATAAAAACATCATAAGACCAGAGGAAATAAATTAATTGATTTAACAATGTAACTTATATCCTAGTATAGTTTTCACGTATGTCACTAAAACAATCGTGTTTATGCATGTATATTGTATGCTGCATTAAAAGAAAAAAAAAATATATATATATATATATATATATATATATATTGTATGCTGCATTGGTGAGCATAGAGTTACGTGTTTGCTCAAAGTTCAAACAAATCGCATTCAGAATATCTTGGTAGTTGGGTTTCTTTAAAATGTTAGGTTAATTACTTCAGTGAGATTATTGTCAATGTTCTAATTATCTTCCACCGGTGTCTAAATAAGCTGACATTCTCACAGCGGTAGAGTAAACAAAAACATGTTGATCCAACGATTTCGTGGGGACGTGGGAATCTATATAAAATTGACATATTTATGTATTTGAGATTTTTTTTTTTTTTTTTTTTTTTTTTGCACTTTAGGTTTCTAATATCGCAACTTGGAAGAGGAAGAAGCCCTATTGCAGAATATGATCAGCAGAGTCACGTCGTTTTCTATAAATAAGACAAATCATATTCACGTTGTAACTTGCCTTATATACGTGTTTCCTTCCTATCGTAATTTCTGCCACCTACGTGTTCTTGCTCCAAAACACAATCTTCTTGCCTCAGAATATGTTATTTCAGCAAACTAGTAAACTAGTATGCATATCGCTATACAAATAACTATTCGCTGCTGGATTTCTTTTTATAAATATGAGTAATAATTAGTCCCAAGCCCATTCAAATGAACGTATTCTAAAATCTTCTTATTTTAAAAATTAATTGACCCTTTCAATTCTTCACTCGCAGCTCATAATCATAAAGGTCTAATGGGCCTTAGTGAACGTATTCTAAAATCTTTTTTTTATTGACCCTATCAATCTTCACTCGCAGCTCATAATCATGAAGGTATAATGGGCCTTATCTTGGGCTCTAAAGCCCAGTTTGTCATTCTACGATTTAGACGCTTCGACGATAAATCAAACTGGAGATATGTTGAAGGTGAAGACGACTAAAGGTTCCGGATCCGGCGATGGAAAGAGAAGACGTTCATCCCTCTCATCGTCTTCTTAGGTATGAATTCAGATCCAATAACCATACAAGATGTGATTTGCTGAAACACACTGATCTTTAAAATCTAATTTCATACTGAACCAAGAATCCTTAACCAGAAACGTGTTTAATTGAAACCGGTTCTAACCGGAGAAGAGAATCGACATCAGTATACAACAAACTTCATAAAAGTTATAAAAACCAACAATTTCAATTTTTTTTCAAAAGATTCAAGTTTCACTCGGCGTGGAAGTCTCGGATGCTTCATTTTCAGATTTGGGTTTATTAGCCTCAAGACTAGCTTGTCGGTTTCCGACACTCTCAATAAGTCTAACCAAATCAGACATCTTAGGTCTCTGGTCCGGAGCTTTGACAACACACGACATTGCAATCTGCAACATCTCAACCATCTCTTCCTCTATGTTCGTATACCTCAAAAGCTCCACGTCGAATACCTCCGCAGTCCACTCCTCTCTCACCACCGAATGTACCCATCGAACCAAATGTATAATCTCATCTCCTGCAAATACCAATCATTAAACCGGAATCATCTTTAAACCAAACATGTATAATAGTATCATTACTCTTTACCTGCGGTAGTGTGAATGGGTGATTTTCCAGTGAGGAGTTCGAGAAGTACAACTCCGAAGCTGTAAACATCAGAGAGTTGAGAAGACTTCCTTGTGTCGGTTACTTCTGGTGCACGGTAACCAGCTTGCCTTGAGATAGGTGGAGCCAATGGGCTCATAACCGCGGTTAAACCGAGATCAGATACACATCCGTTACGGTCTGAGTTCAAGAATATGTTTGAAGATTTGATGTTGCCATGCACAAGCTTCCCGTTGTTCTCTTGGTGGATTCGAGCTATCCCTTTAGCTGCACCAATAGCAATACTCATTCTTGTTTCCCAGTCCAATGGAACTCTGTTTTCTCCTCTGTTTCCTGCACAAATCCAACACCAAGTCCATGAGAACACTAAATAGAAAGTGAGTCAGTGAAAAAAATATTTAACAATGTAAAAAAGTAATTTTAAAAATTAATAGCTATTTATATATATGTTTTGCTTTAGAAATTATAAGCTAGAAAATTAACAATATACTTATGTATTTATGTTTTAAATATTCCTATTGTTTTAAACTCGGACCCTATTCAACCGTTCCACTTACACATACTATTATTAGAGGTCCTGATCTAACCATTGTTAGATCATAAAGTGAAAACGTACCATGAAGCAAATAAGCCACACTTCCATTGCTGAAGTAATCATAAACCATTAGCTTCTCATCTTTGGAGTAATAATAAGCCTTAAGCTCCACCACATTCTCATGCTTAATACCACCAATAATCTCCATCTGCTGCTCGAAATCGCGTTTCCCAGCAGCAACGTCCTTGAGACGTTTCACAGCGACAGAAGTCGCATCCTCAAGAACCGCTTTATACGTTGTCCCAAACGTGCCTTTACCAAGAACCTCAGCAGAAGCTCTCAAAAGATCCTCAAGATCAAACGAGTAGTTGCATCCTTCAAAGAAAGACAACCTGTTGTTCACATCTTCCATCCTCGAAACGAATTTCTCAGGAGACATCATCACGCCTTTCTTCTGCAGCTTATTATCATTAACAATCCCATCTCCTTGAGATAGTTTCCTCCTCAAGTAACAAACAGCCAACACAAACGCCAAAACAGCTAGCAATACAATTGAAACAGCGATAATGATAAGCAAGAAAACAGTCTTGGTCAGTCCCAAGAAGTGAGGTTTAGGTTTCTGCGGTGCTGCTGCAAGTTGCTGATGAGCCAGATCAGGAGGAACGACACCAATGCCTTGATAAGACGAAGAAGGAAACCTCTGAAGCCAACTCGGCACAGGTCCGTTGAGATTATTATTAGACAAATCAATATGTTGCAAACTAGAGACACCACTCAGGTCAGGAATGTCACCAGAAAGCGAATTATTAGCAAGATTCAACGACTGCACACGCCTTAGTCTCGACAAAGAATCAGGAACAGTTCCATTGAACTCATTGTTAGAGAGATTAACACTAGTGAGATTCTTCCAGACAGAGAAATCTTCAGGCAACGGACCAGAGAAGTCGTTGTCTTGAAGGTAAAGAAACGCTAACTCTTTCAACTCGACGAAATCTACAGGGAATGGGCCTGAGATTCTGTTGGATCTGAGACTGAGGACAGTGAGAGAAGAGAGTCTGCTTAGAGTGTTGGGAGGGATCTGACCGTTGAGGCCAACTCCAGGTAATCTAACGGCTGTGATGCGAGATCCGTCGTGGTTGCAAGTGACTCCGGTCCATGTGTTGCAGACGGAAGTGGTCTCGTTCCAGTTTAGTGAGCGCGTGGGACGCATGAGGGTTAGGAACTCGAGTAATGCGCGTTTGTCTTGAACTGGATCTGCGTTTCCGACGTGGATGAGGAGACACAGAGTGAGAATAACTCTCCAAGCTTCCATTTTGGTGATAGAAAAAAAAAACAGAACACAAACGAGATGTTTCTTTTTGTCTTTGGTCTGGTCTGAAGCTGGAGAGATATAAAAAAAAACACAGATAAAAATTCAGTTTTGACTAGATTTTGATGATGAGACTATATATAGAGGAATTTTTAGATTAATCCACTTTAATTTAAAATAAAAGGTTACAAAAAGTAGAAAAATTTGCAGATTTCTAGAAGACTGGGGATCAAAAAGCAAAAGGGAATCTGAAGCTCTATGTGAATTTTTTTTTTTTTTTAAATTGCAGAAAGTATAAAGCAAGAGTGGGAGACAATGAAAGAAAAGAGTGTTTAGCTTCGAAAATGAGGAAAAGAAAGTCCTTTTTTTTTGCTTTGTATACATTCGAAGCTTTAATTTAAAATTCTCCCAAAACCCTAGAATTTCTGGGAACTAAAAAGTGTAACCCTAACTTTTATCAAGAGATAGTTACAAATTAAAGATAGTGATACCTCTTTTTTTTTTTCCAGATCTGAACAACTCTAGCAACTCATCAGTTACGAAGTGACGATGATGCGAAGAACCACCATACCCATTCAAGCACTGAAGTTAAGAGCTTCTTCTTTTTATTATTTTTAATTTCAACAACGGATTTAATTTGTTTTTTCTTTTTTCTTTTTTCTTTGGGGAAATTAAATGAGAGGGATAAGACTTTTTTAATATTTTAATAATCGGTTACAGGTTGAGTGACCGGTGAGTCTGTGAAAAACGGTACGTTCCGGTTATTAAATAGGGAACCGGGGACCATTGCTTTCGTCGGTGTACCTTGCTTGAACTTTTATTATGCCAGCCATACTATCATGGTTATAGTAATTTTGATTGTTTGCTAGTGGTTTGGAATTTTGGTGAACGATATTTATGAGAACCGGTTGAGTTTATTGAACCGGTGATATAAACAGAAAAAAGATGAGAGGAATATATGAGATTAGTTGGTCAAATGCTTACGAGAGAATCATTTAATGATGTTAATCGATTGGATTAGAAAACAATATTTAGCTTACCAAATTACATGAATCTCAAACAAATACGTTTTTTTTTATGTCCTTGTCATAATGAAGTTCCAAGCCTTCAAATTAACAACTTTTCTCTCTCTGCTCTGTTCCCTCTCTAGTATCTGACACAGAGGAGAAAGAAAGGTTCGATCACGGGGTTTGGGATCTTCGATCCGTTCAGTTTCCGGCGGTGCTCCATCTCTTTCGGAGGTCGTCCGGCTTTGCTTCCGATATCCTAGCTTCCTCTTCGGATGAGGATATTCGGCTTGGTTTCCGGCGGTTTCGCGTTTCCCTATAACGGAAACTGTTTGGCTTTTGTCTCCGGGAAGAGATATCTCTTCATCTTCTTCGCCGGGTGTTTCTCCGGGTTGGTCTCGGATTTGTATCTGATCTATGCTTCCTCACTTCATCAGTTCAATTGACTCTTGATTTAAAGTTCCATGGTTTCTTCCTTGTTCTGAATCATGATTGTGGTATATCTGAACAAGAAAGTTGGAGTTTTATGATCGATTGTAGACGATTGTGATATGTTTTTGAGGCGTAGACATGGAGGTTCTGGTGTTCTCAATCCTATGGCTTGCTGTTTGTGCTTTGTCCCTTAATAAAAAAATCAGATGGAAAAAAAAAAAGAAGTTCCAAGCCTTCAATGCGTTTACCATTTTAATATACATTTCTTTTTCATTTTGACATCGAGTATTTCATTAAAAAATATTACTTTCCCTTCGGTGTATTTAATAGAGTATTTGCATGGCACACACAAAACTTATACACTAATTAGGTGAATGCACTATTTGCATTCTCGAGGGTGTCAGAAGGTAAGAAGTTTACAATTTTAGCCCTCATCAAATCTAATCACTAACAACCGGTTACCTGTTGTTTCTGTAATTTGGTTTAGTTTTATTTTTTAAAAATTATGATAACACAATACTACACGCAATCTCTTATGTTAAGTAATTGAACATTTTTATGTTTTCGAAATTTTTCTATTTGTTCTTAAGAGGGTGTTATTGAATATAGAATTTTAATAGAATTAGACTGAAGCATCGTAATTAGAATTTGAGTGTATTTCAATGGAATTTGATGATTCCGGTATAGTGCATACGGATTTCTTGGTCATTCACTTATAACTCCTATGAAATTTTTTGTTTTCAAAAATCAATATTTTAATTTACTTTAAATAGTTAACATCTTCTGATCTTCAGACGAAAGATACATTTAAATCATAGTTTTCAATAACATGCTTCGGTGTTGCCACCAAACACCAAAGATACATTAAAAGAATTCAACAGATACCCCACATCAATTAACCATGGAGCATAACGTATCCAACTATCCATAATCATTTGTTTGGGATCAGAAAAAAATAGCAACCTTGATCAGACCCAGAAAATGAAATTAATGGACAGAAGAAGATCAAACACAGAGACAAAATTTTTGACTGTTTTTTTGTTTTTTTTTTGTTTAAAAGTCACTTAGCCTGGAAGTTAGAACAACACAGAAACTTCAAGATAGTTTAAAACGACGAGTTTCGCCGATCAAAATCCGATTTCACATTATCACATCTTTTCTTTTCCCCTTGCTCACTCCAACAAACAAACAATTCCCAGAAACTCTGAAACAACAAAACCTCTCTCTCTATTTCAGATTCTCTCCGCTCTTCGTCTCTCATGGATTTTTTTTTTTAAATTGATTCTTTGTTACAAATGGCCAGTGGAGTTAACAAACCAAAACGACCAGGACACTTGCTAAATTCCCCTTTTCAACAGCCACGAGGAAATATTAAACATACTGCTATCATCCAAGCCCGCTAAATTCCCCTTTTCAACAGCCACGAGGAAAGATTAAACATACTGCTATCATCCAAACTCATTACTAAAATGTTTAGCCTTAAAAAAAAATAAACTATTAGGCTAACACACCATGTAACCTACCAACGAAGATGCAATCCTGCAACACACACTTCATTACACTAATGGTTATAAGTGAATTTAGCAAACCAAAATGACTAGAGACATTGCTAAACTCACGTTGGAAAAAAGATAAAATAGATACTGCTATCGTTCAAGGTCTGTTAGACTGTTACTAAATTGTTTAACCTACACAAAAACTAACCGACTTGCTAACACAAGAAGTAACCGACCAACGAAGATAAAACCCTGCAAACATAGACTTTATTACTAAAAAAAACAAAAAAACTTTCACACAAAGATCCTACCAACTTTTCACTCCTCATTAACATATTTCAGCACTCTCCCTTTGTGATGCTCCCTTCAAAGGATGTTTCTTTTCCTCTCCCACAACCATTGCTTGTCCCCACTCTTTTCTGTTTACTAGTCAAAGCTAGATTCATAATTTGCGGTCGACAGTTAGCATCAGTGTTTGGATCTCGTGCTTTTGTGTTGTTCCTCTCAACTGATTCCAAGGGGTCTGAATCCAGTTCTTCACCGGCACTTCTCTTTTATTATTGATAGCTAATACTATGTTTAACTGAAGTCTGAAGGTTTTCTCCTGATAATAATATTTTTAAGTAACATACTTCATACTTTCCTAAGGGACTCCTCTCTTATTTAATTAAACAACTAATTTTAATTTGTTGTAATCTACAAAAGGTTTGTTTACTCATATAACTACAACATTACACGAAGAGGAGATTTTATTTATATATAACTTATTGATACGTATTGCACTGCTTACATCCCAAAACTAGATTATGCTACAAACAGAGCACACAAACAATTGTTAAAGCAACCTTTAATATATTTAACATGCTAATGAAAAGCTTAACATGCTACAATATTTTTATTGCCAGCTATCAAATATGATAAGTGTATCTAATAATATTTGTATCTGTCTACTCCTAAAATTAGAATGTTAACTTTCCGAATATCACCTCTTCTTCATTTTTATTTCAAGAGAGAGAGGTATTAAATGTTAAAAGAAGAGAGTTATAACCGCAGCTACACGGAATAGAGTTGTCCAAGCTTGTTCCTTTACCCATCGCCGTCAAGACTAATCCTACACCGGAGCGCACCACAGCCACAGACGCCAGCTTCTGAAGAAGATCTTACTCCAAAACCTTGCTGCCGCCACTATTCAAGACACCGCTATCTCAAATTCCAAACCACCAGATACTACCCCTCACTCATGTCTGTGAGAACCGTTCCCTTCATCCCAACATCCCCAAAACTTCGGGGGGCTTCATCTTGTGTAATATGTCCAGTCAGACTGTTAGCTGCGATCCCTGCACAAAAATGTGTTACACGGTCATTAAACTGTATAACTTACAATAATTTATTCAACGCGCTAACATAACTAACAAATATTCGAGACCATCATTTTCTAACTAATGATTATTTCTAACACACTTTCGGTTTTGAATCAGTACAAAGTTTCCTTTAGTTTGTCAATAACCTTTTTAGCATATGCAATATTTTCCGATATACATGCTAAAAATTCTAGAAAATCTATTTTACAATCTTTAGCGGTTCATTACTTTTTAAAGCCGGCTAACTTAGATGTTTACTTGCTAACCTAAATCCACATCAGAAAAAAACACGCTAATTTATCGCCAAATTTGCTTAATTTACCCAAAGATAAGCCGCCGCTGGACGGTATAATCGGTATTCCACCGAAGACAGGAAACACTGAAGAGAGAATTTGGCTTCGACAATAGCTTGATCCAGCACAGACAAAATAAAAAAAAAAAACAATGCTTCAGAAACACCAAACTCAGAACCAATCGAATCAAATAAATTAAAGCAAACAAAAGTCTCAAATCCTTGCATGCAAATCAAATCATCTTTCAAAATATAAAGAAGCTTGAAGATGATTGAACTCTAATAGAGAGGGCAGGATGAAACAAATTGATCTAAGATTTTGATCTGATTGAAATCTTTTCTAAAAGAGAAGCAAGGTGATTCAGAGAAACTAAAAAAAAAAAAATCAAAACCAGACAATATTCAGGAAAAGAAACTTAAAAAATAAACATTGGAAGCCCAATGATTTGGAAAACGCTAGCATAAACAAAACTAAGGAAGCCGTCGTTCATCTAGACATGCAGGAGACAAAAGTTGGCCAAGATGATTCTATGAGAGAGAGATCATTACGTGTCCCCCTAATTATTTTTTTATTAGTTTCTAACTTTTTTTTACCGGTTTTATCGTGATTTCTTTTTCCATTGACATAAGGTCAATTTTGACATTTCCTCTATGGTGAATCATTTCTAATCCCCCACAATTTATGTGTCATGGGTATTTGCCTAATTTGTTACTTCTTATATGATTTTGAGCTAATTCACTCTATTTAATATTGGACCGACCCAATTATAGAATTTATCATGGTGCATCATAATAGGCCAATTATTTCAAATCTTTCATGATTATTGTGATGATTTTATACCATTTTAAGCTTGGTTGATTCCTTTTGTTTTTTTTCTCCAACATTGTGAGCATTCCATAGAAGAGTATAAAAAGGTCATTGCACCATAAAATTTCATCTTTTACTTGGGTTTATTTGTACTTCAACTACTCAATAAGAATAGTTATGGCTTTAGAAATTATTTATTCGGGAAATTGTTAAACCATGAAAACGAAAACTTTATTAAATTATCAAATTAAAAAAATACAAACTTCATTATCTTTTTCATACACAAGTTAAATCTCGCACAAAACCAGGATCATGTCACTACCAAAAAACGGGTGACATTTTTCAAATCTCAGGCTTCCTTTTAATATTCAGGATTTGATACCAAAGAATCAACACACACACACTGTGATGATCTTCTGTAGACTGTACCGAAAAATATAATAATAAGAGAATCAATCGGTTGAAGATAACCGGTACCGGTTTTCAGGTGGAAAGGACAAGTGAAAGACTCAATTTCCCGGTCCATTCTTCACCCGGTTTCAAGGTGATTGGTTTCTCAATGGCTGCTCCATCAACACAAAGCATATGCTTATACTCTTCATCTCCCAAATCAGGCAATGCTTTAGCTTTCTTGTCCCATGGATTCCACACCACTGCAACAAAACAAAAACAATCTGGTTCTGTTAGATAACCGGACTCCGGTTAGGAGTTAAGGTTTTAGGGTCTTACCAACATCAGGTAGACCTTCTTTCTCAATGAGGAAAGTACGTTTTCTCTCATGGTCAAAAACAGCAACCACGTCTTTAGAGTTCAAGTACACTCTATCGATCTCGGATTCAAAGGTTAGTGCATCGCCTTGCTCAGTAAACCGCTCTTTATCAAGCAAGTTATCAAGATAGTCAAGAGTTTCAAGTCCTTCAACTCTTACTTCACTGATAAAAGAACCAAACATGAAAGAAAGCATTGAGTTAAGTGTGAACTTCGTAGAGACTAGATAGAGGCTAAAGAAACTTGTTGTTTAACCTGATGTCAGAGATGGAGAAGTAAGTGTGGTAAGCAATGGAGAAGCTAAAAGGCTTTGAGTTAATGTTTCTGACTCGTGAAATCAGCGTTAGGTTCCCATCTAGTCCCAATGAAACTCTCAGGTGAAACTCAAAGCTGTAACAATAGCAACGGTAATGATTAAGCAATAAGATTAGTGGAGTAAATCACATTAATAGAGTCTTTAATTGTATTTAACAAACCAGTGAGGCCAGATCATTCTTGTGTCTTCATCAGAGGATTTAAGTACCAAATCCACGTAGGCTTTGTCGGTTGGGTCGAATGAAGGTAAAGCAGGTGGATCATTTTCCACAAGCCACATCTTGTTTCTTGCAAAGCCGTGTTGCTCAAGTGATCCTCGAGTTCCAAACTTTTTTGGACAAATTTTCAAGAAAGGTGATCAAAACATAGATTATATAATTCATGTCCAAGATTATTATATTTGACTTAAAAAGAGTTAATGTACCTGAGGGAAGCATATAGGGATTCCTCCTCGTACCGGTTGGGGAGGCTTTGAGTTAGCCTGAAACAATATAACGCATTATGTTCGCCAAATATTATTTTTTTTAAAATGTTGCTTAAATGTTGGAAAAGAGCCGAAAATGTTTTGTACCTTGGCACTTGTGAATAACAACTCATCATTTCTCTCAGTCTTCCAAGAAAGAACTTGTCCTCCATGTAAACTAATCTGAACAAAGCATTATCCGGAGTAAAAAATTGTCAAATCATTTAACAAAATGATAGTGTTTCCATGAACCAAGAAACAGAGTATTAAGATCAAAAACGATTTTTTTCTTGTCAAGAGAGCTTGAAGGTATTTTATAAAACTTTAAGAATCAGAATCCATATCACAGAAAAAATAGAAGCAGAACAATCTAACACGCTTTGGACCAGTTCAAATGTACAAAAGAATGAGCACAATATTGAGTATCTTAAGATTATCTTGTAGGGAAAGAAAAGTTTGGCAAGAAGAAAACCATGGAACAGAGTTGGTGGGCAATATTATCAAAAGTCAACATCTTATCCTCTATTATTCTGAGAATAAATAAATAAAAAAAATCTAACATCGGAAAGAGTCATGGTACTTTCTTGTACAACATCGGAGAAACAAATGGAAGAAGAAGAAGAAGAAGAATCACCTTTACAGAAGCGCCTTTAGGATTCTGGAGAAGAACCTGATCGGTTCCATTTTTATCCTTGACCAAGTCAACCATAGGTCTCTTCTCATCATCAGATGATGCTTCCATAGTTATCCTTGATGTTTTATTTATTTTTTGTTCTTCTTTCCTCTGCTTCCTCAGAGAGTTTTAAATCGAGGAAAAATAGGTTAGGCGAAGAAGTCACAAGAAGAAGAAAGAAAACTTTCTTGTGGGGGGAGCAACAAGAAACACAAAGTTATCTCGTGAGATTGAGAACCAAACACCCAACCAACACTTCAACTGCTATGTCCTTTTCTTACACACGATAAAGCTGCAACACATCACACACACATACACACCAAAACAAAATTAATCTTATGTGCTAACAAACAAACAAAAGACGTGAGGTTGATATTGAAAACGCAAGATCCTTTTGAAAAAATCACTCCGAAAAGTTCAAAAATAATAATACACACGATTTCCCGGGAAATGATTAACGAGTGAGAAGTCTGATAAGCAAACCGGAGAAAATTACATACCGAATCAAGAACCGGGGAAAGAATCTGAAGTATTCAGATGAGAATAAAAGAAGACAGAGATATTTAAAAGAGAGAGAAGTCAGAAAAAATGGGCACTATGTTGAAAAGTTGCACAGATTCAAAAGAACTGCACAATTGTATTTTTAAAATGTTTTTTCTCATTGTAAAAGGGTGCATTCATCAATCACTGAATCATTCTTCACTAGAATTATATTTTCTGTATATAATTGACGATTATTTATAATATTATGTTACGTATTCTAGCGCACTTCTGCTATCGATCATGTTTAATATTTTTTTTTGGTCATTTTATACATTTTTTTTTGCTAAAAATATCTAATTTCAATCAACTTTCCGAAACTCAATAATGTTTTCATATAGAAAAAGAATCTCAATGATGTCGTTTAAATACCAAACTCTAAAACGTCATGAAATTGTCACATGTAAAACTTGCGTTTAAAACAATTAAACCTAATATATTTACTTTTTCGAGTTGCAAATTTAATTTAAAACAAGCAAATATTTGTTTTTGTTTTTAAGTATTAAAAAGAAGATGATGGGAGGACAGCTGGTTGTGATGAGAGGTGTGGGGATGGGTGGATCTTGACATGCGAACATGATTAACGGAATTAACTGCCTGTTCATTTTCTGGAGGGAGTTGAATATTTTGTTAATTACTAATTAATTAGTTTTATAATTTTACTTTAAACTTTGTCGCAGTCTTAGTTTACTTGATAAATATGTCAACTGTTTCTTTAAAGCTTTTCGATCATTTTAGCAGATAAATTACATGCATACTAGCACATATTAAAAACATATCATTAAACGAAAGGGGGCTCAGCAAATAGAATAATCAAACGAAGAAGTCCGCACAAGCCAAGCTAGTAATCCAAAATAGACCACGACCATAAATGTTATAAATACTATAACCTTTGAACAAATACACGATTACAAACAGACTCGTATTCCTACTAGTTATATAGTAGTTTCCATGTATTGATAATACACAGCATCTTTTATATAACAAACCAAAAATCTTTACTTCCCCTCATTTTCATCTTTAAAGATTTTAATCTGAATATAATCTGTGTATTGTGAATAGAAGAATCGTATCAAACTCTTCATTCACAGTCCATATCACCTAAATTTACCCATAGCTAAAACTGATCTACCTTTTTCTTCTTCTAAACTTATACTGAAACGTGCAAAATTAAAGTATTATCAAGTTGTTCTTGTCTTGTTATGCCGACCTCTGGTATCTTTAATGCGCCAATTACGTCGCTATGCGACCTCGTTGGTCGTCCTCTTCGTATTATGTTTTGTAATCATTAGTTTCTCTAGTTGTCTTGAAAAGAGGTTCACTCAATAACCCGAGAATGTAAAAATCATTTGTACAGCATATAGTCAGAAACTTCCCTTAGATATATCTAACTTTGTTAATAATTTAAATTGGTTTGTTTCACGTTGGAGTTGCATTTTATGATTAGAAAACGATTGAATAAGATGTGCTGATAATTCATTTGTAATTATGCGTCCCTCGACTTCTCTATGATTTTTTTGAAAAATTGAAAAGGAAAAGACACAGCGACATCAGACATGCGTATAATAATATTCTGAAAATGACCACCTTATCGTCTGATTTATGTGGACGAATAAAATTGTTTTTCCATTTTTCTTTTATGTTAGTGTACATAAATTTCATTAACTTAAATATATAAAAATTCGGCTTTTCAGCCCATCCAAGTGTCTCTAGACATTTTGGTATAATGAAATTAAACATTCCCCCCCCCCCCCAAAAAAAAAATGAAATCAAACATAAAAAGGTAAAAATAAGAGAGAATGAAAGAAAGTTTTGTTTTGGAAATTTATCTGTTATGTTTCCTTTTTGGGGTTGTGTCCTGTGAAATTTATATCCAATTCGATCAGAATCCCTAATGAAAGAGGCAATGTATGTACGTGGTGATATGGTTGATTGCAAGCCATGTCACGAGACTTGGGATACATTGGATTAAAATTTTCGGTTAAAATTCAAAGGACGACACTTGATGACCCCATATCGCGAGCACATAATATTATTGCCTATGGATCAGTTTATGCTGTTGTACATAGAATTGAGTTTGATTTGTTTGATAAGCTTGGAGAATAACTTGTAAAACAAGGAATCCTATTTTTAAGGGGATTTATGACATTGATTTGATTAATAAGAGTTTGAAGTTTGTGTTTCTTTCTTGATCAACTAGTTCTATATGATTTAGGTATGACACGAACTCCAACTCATTTGACACATGCATGGTGATTCCAAAGGATCAACTGAAACCATAGTCCTCCCTTTCAAAGCCTTTTTTTTTGGTAAAACGTTTTTATGAGTTTTTTTCACTTTGTTAACATTTCTATTGTTTTGTTTCGTTGTAGTGGTTTTCGTGAACCGTTTACCGTCGAGTTTACTTAGTTGTAATCGTCTCGGCCAGTTGGAAGTTTAATTTTATAATAAGCATTTGTTGTAAAAAAGAAAGATTTTTAGATCGCTACCATCCCAGTTATATCAGAAAACTGTGTGCCGTTATTGTATCACTCCAAACATCTTGAAAGTTGAAGGTACTACTCTTCACCATGTTAACAAAGTCTAGCTAGAATTCTCTCTTTCTGCGACATAGCAACCATAAATGACAGTGTTGTGTAGGCAGATGGTGGATTCATCCGCCAATGTAGTAGGGCGTGAATTAAATATTAGGCCATACAGTACATAGTTCGTATTTATTTTACAGAAAATAAAGATTTTCAGCATATGTTGGTGGAAGTTATTGGACAAAATAGTATCAACATAGACTGGCTTTTTGTTAGCTCACTGCAGTGATTAATAAAAGCTGATCAAACACAGTAACAAAAGAAAAACAAGAAAACTTAAGTTTTCATTTAGCAATACGGCGCCGTTTCTAAACATCCTTGTTATTTGATATCTATGTGAGTAGCAAAATTGTTGCTAGAGCAAGATAATTAGAAATTTTAAAATGTTCAAAACTCTCAAGTAAAGTTTCTAACTTGTACATTGTGTAGATATAATCATTAATATGAAACATTTTTTTCAAAAAAAAAAAAATTTCTTGTCCAAAACCAATTTTTTAAAGTTACCCACTCTCATTGTCGCGCGTGAATAGCACATTCATCCTTTTAACATATATACCTCTTTGGAATTTCTTTTATTTTTGGCTTCTCTCGAAATATGGAGCGCGTTACCCTCAAAACGTCGTAGTATCGGGATTCTAATGAACCGATCAATCCGAACCGGTTGGGTTAGGAGATTGCTTTTGTTTCAAAATTGAAGAGCGAGCGTGAAGGATCCCATGATTCCCATCCCTTCTTCTTCATCGTTCTAACTAAACCCACCATTGCCATAAACCCTCACAAGCTCTCTCTCAAAATGGATGTTCCAAAGGATCAGATAGCGACTCTAATGGAGCATGCATGGCCTCTACGATAATGCTCGTAAACTTCTTTTAACTCTCTCTCTTTCTTCCTCTAAATCCCTAAGTTTCATCTCATAAAAAAAAATAGCTCTTAATTGTCAGGGATGCTTCCTCGTTTCATCTTCTACTGTTAGCGCTGAAGCTAGTCCTCATTTAAAGGCGGAGACTTTGGTTAACCTCCGTCGATAATTTTACATTAGCTCTGCATATCTTTCGTTACTGATTGAAAGTTTGATTCTTTTCTTCAGATTCTACTTGGCGATTCTTTGTTAATTTCATCAGAGAGAGAGAGAGTACGGTAGAGCTAATTGTAAGATGGATTGACATTATCTTTTATGATTCAGTAGTCATGTAAAAGTTACCAACGTTTGTGTGCTTATATCAGAGTTCATTTTCTTCGAAGAAATATTCTTGAGCCATGATTAGTTGATTGTTTTAGTATCCCTGAATCTAAAACTAGTTGTAAACTATTTATCAAAAATAAAAACACTTTTTTTCTTTATTTGCCAGATGGAATCTGTCAAGACAAGGAGCTTGGAGATGAATGTACTGATGCCAAAGCTTCATCGAAATTCTGGATATAACCGTGCTGCTATTGCACTTAAACTAACCCTTATAGAAATATGGGCCTCTTGTATAATAATGGGCCTGAATCGGCCGAGATTTCCATTTGTTTCCGATTTGTCATTTATATGCTGTAAATGAAAATTAAAGCCTTTTCCAAAATTGATAATTTACATCTCAAATTCTTTCACTCCAAACCTGAAAGACAATATATGTATATACCCTTTGGCGATAATCTTATAAAAGCAAATTAAATCTTTAGTTTGACTAATATCATTCCAGACAACAAAAACATCTAGTCGTTGCATGAAATTGTATTTATCTAATATATCTCACAGATTCTATCATCTAGGTTAAAACCCACACATTATGCAAGATGAACATATGTGTACAAATTGTTTTTTCATTGTATTATTTATTTTATATTTATTTATGTATTATGAAATAATAATATATTGAATAATTTAAAAACAAATAAATATTATGTATATAATTAAACTAGAGTAATCACATAAATCAAAAGAAATAAACCAAAACAATCATTTTATTTATTTTATATGATATAAAATTAGATTTAAATGATTTTAACATAGATATATATTAAAATATTTAATTGAGCTTCCTAGCTCCTACTCATATGATTCTATTAAAATTTATATATTTGCGGTAACATATATTCAAATCATGAATCACAAAATTTCCAATGTAATTTTAATAATTTTAGTAATTTATTAGCTTTTTAAAAATTCATTACAAAATTAAAATTTAAAATAAACATATTTATGTATTTTTATATGACACATAGTTTAGTTTAAACGATATTAAGTATATATATATATATATATTTATTTATTAAATTTGGATATCTATTAAATGATACTTCACATTCATATGATTTATGATCATATGTATTTTTATATAAAAATAAAATTATTGTTTACAAAATTTTCAATGTAAGATTTTTAACATTTTAATTTATAGTCGTTTTAAAAATAAAAATACAACATACAAGGAAAAAAAAAGATAATTTATTATATGGTTAATGTGATTTTTTAATTTTTGAATAATATAAATAAAAAGATGATAAAGGAAACAAAAAATATTCTCAAATCTTTATTATTTAAATATTAATTTTCACACACAAAAAATATTCT